GGACAGACGCTGGCTGTTCTGGGCCATCTCGAGACCGGAGACGGCGACACCACCGCAGTTGGCGGCCTTGCCGGGGGCGTACCAGATGGCCTCGGCGCCCTTCTCCTTGCGCTGGGCCTCGAAGACGTCGATGGCCTCCTGAGTGCAGCCCATGTTGGAACCCTCGGCGATGGCGATGCAGCCGGCGGCGATGAGGGCCTCAGCCTCCTCCTTGGAGACCTCGTTCTGGGTGGCGGAGGGGAGAGCGATGTCGACCTTGCCGACGTGGGTCCAGGGGCGGGCGCCCTTGATGTACATGAAGGAGCCCTTGTGGTCGAAGTCGGTGAGGGACTTGCGGTCGACCTTGAGGTTGGCAATGGTCTCGATCTGCTCGGGGGTGAAGGCGGCGTCGCCCTCGGCGACGAGACAGCCCTGGGAGTCGGACAGGGAGACGACGGTGGCGCCGAGCTCGATGCACTTGAGGGCGGCGTACTGGGCGACGTTGCCGGATCCGGAGATGGCGACGCGCTTGCCGGCGAAGGTGCCCTTACCGGCGTACTTGAGCATCTGCTCGACGTAGTAGACGACACCGTAGCCGGTGGCCTCGGGGCGGATCAGGGAACCACCCCAGGTCAGGCCCTTGCCGGTGAGGACACCCTCGAACTTGTTGCGTTCCTGGCGGTAGGTGCCGAAGAGCCAGCCGATCTCGCGGCCGGAGACACCAATGTCACCGGCGGGGACGTCGGTGTCGGCGCCGATGTGCTTGGAGAGCTGGCGCATGAAGGAAACGCAGAAGCGGCGGATCTCAGCGTCGCTCTTGCCCTTGGGGTTGAAGTCGGAACCACCCTTGCCACCACCCATGTTGACTAGATGCCCGAGTTAGTTGAAACGGTTTTTTCCCCAGATTTCTTGGGGGCGGGGGTTAGACTTACGGCCGGTGAGGGCATTCTTGAAGATCTGCTCGAAGCCGAGGAACTTGAGGACAGACAGGTTGACGGTAGGGTGGAATCTCAGACCTCCCTTGTAGGGGCCGAGGGCGGAGTTGAACTGGACGCGGTAGCCGCGGTTGACCTGGAGCTTGCCGTTGTCATCCTCCCAGACGACGCGGAACTGGATGACGCGCTCGGGGATGGAGACGACCTCGAGGGCGGTGCGGTACTCGGGGTTCTGCTGGAAGAGGGAGGAGTTCTCCAGGGTGCTGACCAGCTCTGTGTGATGATCAAGTCAGCCTTGGTACGTCCGGTGACGAGAAACCTTCGTTTCGTGATATATTGACATACCGTTGTAGGCCTGCTCGAACTCGGGCTCGGAGGGAAGGTTAGACATGTTGGCGGTTGTGTGTTGAGAGAAGTGTTTGTGTTAAAGAGTTGCTTGGCGTCTCCGAGAGAGTTATGTCCAGGTTCGAGGCTGACAGGAGAGAAGCTGATGAGGTCCCAAGTCAAAATCGATCTCGAAGGGAGGAACGCCCGCAAGCTTATATACACATCTGGGAAGCTGTCGATCAGATATGGGAGACCAAATCGAATCGAGTAAGAGCTCACATTCACCAACCGCGAAAGTGCCCTCGTTGCCCCCTTGACCAGATGCACACCCCGGTCGCGCCTTTCTCCCCTCCTGCTGGCTCCTCCACCACTACCTCCTCCTCCCAAGCTTCGGGAAGCCCTTGAACCATGCCTTGATGGTTTGAAGGTGGAGGGGAGGGGGTCGACCAGCAGATGGAGAGGCTACTGAGGGTGAGAGAGCGAGATAGACAGACAGGGGATGCGTTTAGCGCGAAGAGCAAGACATTGTCCGGGTCGGCCGTGGGGGGCGCTACGGGAAGAAACGTCTCGTCGCTCAATCTCTTCTTCATGCGCGTTCATTCGGTGGTTTCGGTGGCAGACCGACAATTAGTCCTATCCATAACGCGAGAGAAAGGGAAAAAAGCTCAGACGGAACCCACGCGGTTGACGTAAAAAAGACTCAGCCGAGTCTAGTGGCCTTCTAGGCTGGACAGAGTGCCGGGACCGGTCCCGGGATTCCCACAGATGGGAGATGCAGACTTGCAGGTCCCTTGATGCCGCAGCACTCTGCGCTCTGATTTGCTGGTGCCTCGAGATTATTCAACTCCATCACAAAGAACAGACGTCCTCTGCCCAGCCGCGCCTGCGGTGCGATCCCGGAGGCGGCGAACCGAAGCTGCCATTGCGGAAACCAGACAACCAAACCAAGCAGGGGTTCAGGGGTGGGGGGGCAAGGACCCCGTCATCCATGGACCATGGCCCGGCGGGTCGAGGGCAAGCCCAGGGCAACAGGGGCCTCCATCTTCGGGAGAAGAATAATGCCTGAAATGGCTCCCCATCGACCCCGTCGCCACAGGCTGGCGCGCGTGTCCCAAACAGGCCAGAACCTGGGGGACGTCATCCAACAATCGCATGCTCTGGTGCAGCTTTGGGACACTTTGCCCCTCCATCTCTGTCTCCTGGAGGAAGGGTTGGAGGGGGGGGTCCCCGCTGGCACATGTCTTCCGCATGTACGGATTCGTCCTTTTGCTCGTCTGTCACTCGACGCCGTTGACGGGCAGCTTCCCGGGGCCCCGTCACATTCGAGATGTCATTGACAATCGAAATGCTCCTTGCATGCCGTGGCGTGGCCACTTACAGCCATAGCTCACATGTCAACAGCAAGCCATATCTCAGCCTTTTATCAGCGACTCGTCATTGGTCGCCGCCATCTAGATAGAGACAAGAAGAAAAAAATCTTGGAAGCTGAGAGATACACCAAAATGGTGGTGCATGGGCATGTGAACAAGTGAGGCCGGCACAGTCATTCCAACTACAACTAAATGCCGCTTCGATCGGCCGATGCGGCATCGCATCTCCGACATCGAAGCTCAGGAAGAGCGAGAAAAATCAAATTTCTGATGCGCAGGAGAAGAACCATGACGGCTGCGGCGTCATGGTCTTGCATATCCCTCTTCTCCATCACTGATAAGAGAAGCAGAAGAGGGATGGGAGGGGATTTGCAACGGGTTGGACAAATGTCAATTGCTCATGACAATTCGTAAGTCGCGCCGCGACTGGCCCTGCACCAGACGGAGGAGAAAAAAAAAAGACTAGCAGGGACGAGACAGGCTGACAGGATAGATTGCAATGGCAGGGCCGAAAAACGGCGCCTCGAGTCGCGGTTCCGATCGCGGAAGTGAAGCAAGGCCAGCAGTCGGGTGTGTGTTAGTTCAGGTCCAAGGTCTTCCAAGGTTAGGTTGGGCTCTGATGGACAGAACGACAACGGACGGTGCACGGCAGTGCCACGCGGGTTCGGGTTGCGGCCTGGGCTGACAAACTGGGCTGATGAGTCCCAGAACTGCGACGCAACCCGACAGAATGCGACGGCAGCCATGAGCTGGAGCCGTGAACTCCGTCGTGGGGCCCCCATTCCCCTCCTCTTCACCTCTTCCTCCTTCGCCTATGAAATTCCGACCACCGAGCGGCTCGCGTCCCGAGCTTGTTCTGCAGCGGCCAGCCATAGGTATGTGTGTGAAGTCGGCCATCCCGCCTTCGGGCGCTTGGAGGGGTTTCTTTCCTCCGGCGGTTCTCCGGGGCCATCCATCTTGCAGCGTTTCAGTGGGCGACGGGAGGGGCCCCCAATCTCGGAATTGAAAAGAGTGGGCGCTTGCCCGTGTGTTAGATCGCTTAGACTGTGCCGACTAACACCAGCATGCAGAGAGCTCCAAGAGTGTGAGTGTGTGAGACAGCAACAACTCTGGATGCAGAAGCCATGTCTGCTGAAGAACGTACAGAGAGAAAGAGAGATACGCGCACCCAGCCATTGGCTTAACCTAACTTACCCAAACCTCTTGGCCTCTCTTCTTGTCCTCTCCACAACCCATTCCCATTACGTTTTACTGCCTCTCTCTACATTCTGTTACGTTTTCTCACAGGATTCTATTCGCGAATTGCTGGTCAAAAGATGCAAACGGATTTATGCTTAAAGCTCATGTAACGTGAATCTCGTCCTGATTGAATTACCTTTGACCTTACAGGTTGGCCTGGGTGACCAGGTGAAAGAAAGGTGGCCTTGATGACGATGTTGGTTCACTTACATCTGGATGCAGGCGCAGGAGCAGCAACAACACCAAAGAGCGACAGTTAGACCACAGTCGGAGCCCCTCGGCGTAGCACCGTACGATGGATGAGATTGATAACTTAAAAAGCGTACATACGTGGGGAAACCCTACAGCGAGCCGACGTGTGCTGTTCTGTTTGTGTGTTGTGCCTTGCGCCGTCGTCCGCCGCCGCCGCCACCAGTGCCGATCCAGGAAAACGGCCGGCGGCTGCCCTGCGTGCCTGTGCCTGCGCCTGCGCCTTCGCCCTCGCTGTAAGTAGGTAACTGTTTGCTGTCATGTCCGCCCTTCCGCTCGCTGCTCAATGGACCGTCGGCCTCCGCCCCCGGTCTCCGTCGCCCCAGCCAATCAACACGCCGCTTTCGCCTCCTTGTTAGCTGAAGCCTTTACTCAATCTCACTCTCGCGAATCCATCTGTCCATCCATCGCAACCAAATCCAAATGCCCACAACGGAACTTGTCCTTGCACGCCTGGGGATTTGTGGAAATAATTGCCGCAGCTCTGTTGTTCTCGTTCCGGATTTCTTTCTTCCCCTCTCTGTTGGCTCGTATTATGGGAGAATATCATACAATGGAAACACAACCACCCCATCCACTCCAAATTTCCGTCCGGTTCTTCCCGACACTGTTGATGACTCTCTCGCCATGTTGCATGTTTCTCCTCCCAATAGGTCTGGACCACCCGACCCCTACCGGTTGTCGTTGCCTCCATCAAAACTCCGTCAACGCCTTTTCCGAAACAAATATTCATCGCGGGTCCATGCCCACCGCATCTTGCGTTGCTCTGCAGGCCTGCATGTGCTGCATCTCCTGTACCGGCCCATGGAGCAAAAAAGCTTAGCGTCGTCAAATGCCCCTCCGTCTTCATCATCGCCTTCGTCCATGCCCCTCATCGGTCCCTTGTCGTCCACGCAACATCTTACCAGATCGCCGCCTGGTCAAAGTCGAAACGCTTTAGTTCCTTACCCGCATCCTCAAGGTCCTTTTTGGCCTTCATTCTCATGTAGAAAATGGGGCAGTCTTTGCTGCTGCAAATCACCTCGCAGTGCATGCTGCCTTGACACCGTTGGCATTGCGTCCAGAGCCGGCCGAACCGCACCTCCAGATCCGACGTTCTATCAAGCGTCTTCTTGTAGAGTTCGCCGACCCGAGGCGCGCAGTCCGAGCACACTGCCCCCGCGCTCTCCTCCTTGCCCTTCAGAGGCCTCTTGCATCCCATGCAAGTCTGCGTCTTCTTTGCAAACTTCATCAAACCTCCGACAGTCGGCGCCGAAACTGCGATGGTTCTGGTGTGCGCTCCGGTGAGAAGTGAGTTCGCCTTCGTCTCACCCAAGATGGGCTCGAAGATTCTGCCAAGTGGCTTCGCAAGCTGGTTATCCAGGTAGTATTTGGTGTCAATCGGCACATTGTTCTCCAGAACGTAGATTGGATCTTCGGAATTCTCGTAGTTCTTGGATCCCGCAGCGCCCTTGACCATCACGTAGGCCACTCGGTCGCCGAGGCCAGGCGCCGAGCCAGCATCACGCTTCTTCATTCGTTGTGCCAGCTCAACGTGGGCCTGCTTTGCGGCGTAATCGTCTTTGGTAAGGGCCTTTGTGATCACAAGCTTCGACATGTCAACCTTGTTCTGCAACAAGTCGGCAATCGTGTCCTTGACGTAGCTGGCATCTGTTAGCAAGCGCTCCTACAAACGCGAGGATCCAACTTACTCTTGAGCACCCTGGACGTCCTGGTCAATCAGAATCATGCGAAGCACCTTCTCAATGACAGTCTGTACGAGAAGACAGTTGTCTCGTCGCACGGTTTCGATACCCTTCGTATCCATCTTGTCGTACTTCTCTGGCTTGGTCCAATACAAGCCGGCGTATCTCTTCTTGTTGATGAGAAGGTATGGGAAGTACACCTTTTCGAATTCCAGCTTGATGGGCTTCACAAACTTGGAAGAAACGAAACCAGCAGCTTCCTCGCCGAGCTTCATTGCCTCGGGAAGGTCCTTCGTACCGAACTTAACCATGACTGAATCAGTGTCACCATAGATGACCTGGGCGTCATGAGAATAACCGTTGGCGATGCAGTACTTCTTCTCTACCTCTTCCTTGGTCTTCATAATCATCTGACGACCGAAACTCGTTGTGCTACTGGCGATTTCCAAACAAGGCAGTTTGCCAGTCGTCGCACCCGTCAGACCGTAAACGGAGTTTGCACTGATCTTCAACGCCAGTTGACGACCGTTCAGCACAGCCTTCTTGAATGGATCCGTTTCTACAGCCAGCTCGCGCTTGGCTTGCTTTCTGGCCGCCAAAAGTTCCTCGAGAATTTGAGCGAGGAGACCCTTGCGTTTCTTCACGGTAACAAAAGTGTCGCCGTTGGGAGTGACGATGTAGTCCTCATCCTTCACCAGACTGAATTTCTCAATGGCCTTCTTGTTGACCAGTGTCGTGTAGCACAGGTTGTGAGCCTGCATAATGGATGGGTACAGGGAAGCGAAATCCAAAGTGGCAATGGGCACGTCGTAGTACCCTCGAGTCGGTTCAATGACCGTAGCACCTTCGTACTGCTCGTCGCTGCTCTCCGACCGGAGGTTCGGGATAACAAGCTTCTGCTCGAGGGCTTTTCGGAAAAGCTGACTGATGAACTTGACTTGCTGACCTCTGGAAAGCAGAAAGTTGAACGGAATACCCGTGACTCTGGCCATTTCCGTGTAATTTTCAAGGCAAGACAGCTTGTCCATTAATCGCTGCGGAAGGTACGCATCCTTCAAACAGTACAGAGCAAGACGACGCCTTGACTCAGGTGTTCCATTGAACAGTTCCGTGATCATAGTATGGTGGACGTCTTCTTTTTGTTCTCCGAGGAAGTTCGAACACACAGAGTTGAGTGTGTAACTTCGAAGATGATGGTCGCGCTGAACAAGTTGCAGCAGGTCCAGTTGCAGCCGGCCGTTTGTGTTGGTTGCCTTGGTGTCACGGTTACCCATCTGTTTGCTGGAGAAGTTGGTCTCTTTGGCCTTCGAGGCAATGCTCGGAATACGGGACCAGTATTCGAATCCGTTGACCTTCAGGTGTCTGGCTCGATCGAGGAGATAGGGAAAATCGAAGTTGGCAATGTTGTATCCGATGATGATATCGGGATCAACCTTGACAAGGAACTTCTGCCACTCGCTCAGCATCTTTTCTTCCTTTTGGAATTCCAAGATTTGTGTGGCAACGATAGGACTCGTCGTGTCCAGGCAGAACACGTTTCGCACGAATGGCTTCTTCTCTCCGTACCGTGTTACAACGTTCGCAATCTGGATGACCGGGTCGTGTGTTGCTTCGGGGAAGATACCCTTGCGGCCAGCGCACTCGATATCGAAGGACAGAATTCTCAAAGGAGCCATCTTGGACCATTCTCCTTCGGGCTTGTGAGCAATGAGATCCAAATGGCTGATTTCGGCCTCGATTTGACAGTTTGATTGTCTTTGTGATTGGGGAAGGAGCTGGTATGATTTCGCGGGGGCTTCGACCCAGGACATTCCGTGGATCTGAAAGTTGTCAGCGTCATCCGTTTAGACCAAGCTGTGCTCTCTTACCTTGCAGTCAACCATGAAGCGCAGGACGTATTGGATGTTGTCAAAGGTCATGACACCACCTTCCATGCCCTTCCACAGACCTTTCCAGTTTGCGCTTCCAGTCTCGATTGTTGAACGCACTCTGCTGATGAACTTGGGGTCCATGACGGTGATCTTGAGATAGGGGCTCTGAACATTCCCCTGGAAACCGTAAATGTTCTCCCTCATGACGAAGGAGATTGAATGGATGCACGGTTGGTGCTGCGCAACCTGTGACTCGAGGTAGGCTTTGAAGGCATTGCAGTCTTCAGGTCGGAACGCCACTGGGGCAGCAACGTAGAGGTAGTGCTTGAAGTCAGTGACGTGGAGCATCACCGAGTGGCCCTGCTCTGTGACACCGAACAGCTTCACCGTTGCCCTGCCGCCGTGCAAGCTTCCTTCTTCCGCCTCAATCTGCTGGAATATCAGGCTGTCCCTCTCTGGCTTGAAGTCGACCAGCTCCGGACGGTCCCATGCTTGATCTCTCTCTGTATTGTTCTGCTTGGCCTCGGAAATGTCCTGGCTAAGCTTCTCGAGAACTTCGGATTCGAATGCGCTCTTAGGTTGACTAGAGCCTGGGAGGTTCTTCGAGTTCTTTTGCGAGCCGATGCGGTGGGCGGGGGAGGACGAGAAGCCTTCGACCTTGCGCTTCTTCAAGGATGATGGTGTCGTGGGAATATTGCGACGGGTGCTGGGCGTCTCCCCTAGCACCCGCTTCTTGGGAAGGACAGCGGTAGCCATGTTGTGAGTTTGGCTGCGATGGTTAAGGGGAAGAGGTTCAGCCAAAGCTCATAGCACGGTTGAGGTAGGTAGCTAAGTCGAGTATTCGTTGTTGTGCGGTTGCTACCAGGCAGTTTTAGAGTGGGCGCAAGCTATTAGACACGGGTGAGTGGTTATGGAAGACGCGCCTCTGACGTGAAGACGTGTAGCGTGACGGACCCACAGCTTAATTGAAGCCGGGGGTCGCGATCTGCTGACTAAGATAACATTGGAGACGCGACATTTAGGCACCTTTCGGTGAGCCACTAGCACCCCGACCGTTCACCGAATAGGAAGTAGAGAGCTGCACTTCTGACTGCTTTGTCCATGTCATCCTGAACATTCAATGTAGACGAATGGAATATTGATATAGAGTAGTCAGGAAGGAATCGGAAACCACAAAAGAACATTCAATGCAGAAGATTGACATCAGCCTTGCATCCTGCCTAGGTCGTCGTCGTGCCTGTTTGGCGTATGACACCATAAATCTACCGACCAACAAAAACACATGGCCTGACATGGCAATTATCAGTCACCTTAGTGACAGCACTTAGCTAATCAGAGATATTTAATGCAAACAAACAGCAAACATATAGTACATTTCGTAGACTATTAACTAAGACCAAGTAATACTGGGAAACTTGAATAGAACTTCGACCATGACCAGAACCAGCGTCCTTGATCAGTAGATACTAATGGCGACAAGGAGTGGTTTTTTCTCGTACAGGAACCAGAATTCTGAGAGCAACAAGAATGCTGAGCTCGGTCGCTGCCCTAGGATACTCAATAATTAGCATCCGTAATGTGTCTTGGTTAAAGCCACCATAACGCAAAGCAAGTAAGGATTTTCAGATATCCATTCTTCGAGGCATCAATTGCGACTTGTCACAGCCGCTCAGCTAAGCCATGCAAAAAAGAATCATCATAAGATCGGCGATTTTGATTGTCGGGAGTCGTCTTACCTCGAAACACTCGATGTCGTGCGGTTCAAAACTGCCGACACTATGATGCATGAAGACGTCCGAGAGGCCCGAACGCAATGAGAGAAGAGAGGGAGAGGTACGAAAAAGCACACAGCGGAGCGGCAGGGAATGCTCGATGTTTATTTATTCTATTCATTATGACAGGCCAGGTTCCGAGTACGTAACGTTGTCCAGCCCATCGAATGATCTGCGGGGTAGCCAAGGCACCGCTGCATCAACATGTCCTCGGACGTTGCAACCGTTGGTGCCCATGCCGTTTGTCAGCTCGGCAACAGCATGAGAGCCCTGCAACCAGCCGCGACTTTTGGCTCTCTGTGAATGCAATTTGTGGGAATAAGCGAGGGAGGAAGCCATGTTTCCTTTAATAATACCCATACCGAACCGGACGCCGTCGCTGAGCAATGCAAAAACCGGAACCCCCTTGTCAAGTGCGTAACCCAATGCATAAGGTACCATTCATACTCGTGGCGTTCCATCGCCAAGTCTTCGTTTTGAAATCTCATCTTCATGAACTCTTCGTGAGCTTGAAATCATCCAGCTCGCACCAGTTGTTGACAGGCTAGAGGCTGTGTTAGCGAGAGGAAGCCGTGCCATTGACTTTGAGGGTAAACTTACTATACAACTGAGGTACTTGCACCAGCTGCAGGTGTTGTGGTAGACGTAGAAGTTGTTGAGCAAAACGATGAAGACGATGATGACAGTCAACAGGAAGCCTGCTCTGACAAGCCACCAAGCCCACCAGAGAGGCTTGCGTCCCTTGAAGAAACCAACCGGGTTCCTCAAGAATGAAGGCCCGGCACCTTGGTTGGCGGGGTTGAGTTGCATTGAAGCGTAGGATGGGTCGGTGCCTAGTCTGCGCCTGAGAGAGTTCGGTGAATGTAGGACGCAGATGCCGAGGGCCAGGCCCATAAGGAAACCACCAATATGAGCGAAATTGTCCAAACCTGGCAGAAGACCAAGAACGAAGGAAATGACAATGTCCAGCATGATGAACATCAAATCCTTGACAGGGCTGCGGCGGTCTTTCCAGGAGTACAGCAGATCGAGTAGCGTCAGCGCAATAACGCCGAAGAGCGCACCCGAAGCACCGGTTGAAGCTGTCATGACGCCGGCGTAGTTTGCTCCCATTACGTTACCGAATATGCCGGCGCTCACGTAGACCAGGAAGAAACGGATCGAACCAATAGCAATCTCCATCTCTTTGCCAATCGTCATCTGCAGGAGCAGGTTGAATCCAATATGGATCAGACCTGCGTGCAGGAAGATGGGCGTGATGAAGCGGAACCACTGGTCAGGCTCCGGGCTCTGGTCCAGACCCTCAAACTTCGGCTCGGGAACTCCGCCAAAACCACAGAGATCACCGAGTCCGCACTGGTTCGATGGGTTGTTGGCGTCGGAAGATGTCGAATTAGGACAGGGCCACGTGAACGAGGTGTTGGAGTCTTGGATACCCTTGACGTTGTGCATGCAGGCGACGTAACGAGCACCCATGTTGATCATGACATAGGTGGAAGGTCCAATCATGGGGTTGAAGCTGGGCTTGGTCATGATGGGCGAGCCGGTTAATTGAGCTACCAATCGTCAGTACCAATATCCGGATCGATTTGTGAGTTTGCAGACTTACCGTTCTTGACAATTTCGGCGATAAACACCGCGACCTGGACCAGGGTGAAGACGTAAACCACCCAAGGGATGCCCTTTCTGTCTGCGCCAAACATACCCAACTGACCGAAGCCGACCTTGCTCTTATCACGGCGGCTCTTCGAGCGGCGGCTTCCTTGGGGAGCGTCGTAGACATGGTCGTTGTCGTTCATCTCCACATCTTTGGGCTGGGTCTCCTGCCGGCTCTGCAGAGGAATATCATCTGCTACATGAGGCCTACTCGAGTCCGGAGAAACGGCCTGGTTACCGTAGTAGGCAGTATCCTGGGCGTAGGGATTGGGCTGCGCATACGCGCTGTGCTGGTCGTATACGCCATCGTGCTGGTTGTAGGCGCCATCGCGATGGTAGGCAGTTGGCTGTTGTGGCAGAGGAGGCAACGGTTGCATGTTGCGCGGGTCGTTTGGATTGTCACTGCTGTAGACAGAACTAACGGTGTTGACAGTGTGGACGGTGTTCATGCGTTGCGGGTTGTTCGCAGCCTGGGGGCTCATATTCTGCTGGGGAGTGCCGTTGGCGTTGTGTCGGAATCCGTCCTGCGTTGAGTCTACTGGATAGACATGATCGTCAAAGACTGTTTCGAAAGGCGAGACGGTGTTCACGCGCGGTGGTGGCGGATGGGAAGCACCGGGGGTCTGTGATATTTGGCTGTAGGGAGGCGCGGGCGTAGAGCTCGTAGAGGGAATGTTGTTGTATGCGCTGCCAGCGTAGTATGCTGCAGGTGGCGGAGATGCTGAGGGGGGTTTGCCGCCGTGGTAGTAATCGTTGGATGCCATGATCGGACGGGGAGGAGGGCAGAGCACCTCTGAATTACGGATACCCAGGGAAGATGATGGGGAATGGGGATCTGGGCGACTTTGTCTTGTCGGGGCGAGGAATTTCGCTTGGAGGGCCGAGCTGGAACTTGGCTGTGCTGACGATGGGTCGAATCGGGCTAGAGCGATGGAGAATCGCTCAGGTACCGAAAAGGGGACCAAACGCGGAGAAATGTGACAGCGGGAAGTCGAGAAGGTGTGTGTGTGTGTGTTCGTCGTGTGGTCGTCTCTTCCAAGGTTTGGGGAGACGTAGGTATTTGTTCGGGAAGTTTGCTAGAAGATGCTTGAGCTAAGCCTTCTTGGTGCTTTTTTGGGTAGATGGAGGCGTTTGGCGGACGATGAGGTGAGCAAAGTCTCTTGTGGACCGGTCGGTAGCAGGCAAATTGCTCCCGACTAGTGAAGTCGACTTTGGGGCCAGGTGAGGGTGCCCAGCAGTGAGGCTTGTAATTGCAGGTTCACCCAGGTGGTGGTTTAGCGGGCTGGGATGCGCCTGTGCACAACAACCTACGACGACCTGAGCTAAGGTAGGGAGGTGCCTTGGGTGTGCGCGCTGTCTCGTTTAGGGGTGCCTTCGGATGATTGGACCAGTAAGAGACGGTGGTTGCGAGTGTCGAAGCGCGGGGGAGCTTGTTGGTGACACGAGGGGGGAATCTGGAATTATGACAACAATAAGAAAACAGAGGAAAAAACGAGTGAAGGGAGGTTCCAGGTTCACAGGTCAGGGGATGGGATCTAGGAGGAAGCAAGCAGGACGCGTTCCAAGCGACGGAGGGGAGAGGAGAGGAGGCTTTTTCTTTTAAACAAGCCAGCATCTCAAACGCATGCCTTCCCGGCCTTGTTTCTGCTTTTTTTGCCCAGCCCGCCAAGTGGGAGAGGGAGCCCCAGGAGAATTGGTGGTTGGCTGTGGGAGGCAGTGTGAGCGCGAGTGAGCATGGCAGTCATCCACTGGAGGGGAGACTACGGCGTAAGAGGGATCCATGATTGATTGGGATGGGGGAGGAGTGTGGGAGACAGCAGCAACAGCAAGCCCGCAAGCACCAATCCCAGCGCGCCAACAGTAGCGGCAGCAGCAGCAGAAAGGGTGCAGCAAGGCGTGCAGTAGTCCCGGCTTTTGAGGCTGTGTCAGCATCGCCAGCCTCTCCCGTCTTAGGTCCCCTTGAGCGCCTGACCGGCACTCTCTGCCACCCTCTGCCACTTCGTGCCGGCCAGAACTCTGCAGCCGCATAGAGGTCCTGATGATCACTCCCAGCTGGCACCGCGCTTCAGGCTCACAGCTGTGTGCTGATTCTGATGCTAAGTTTGGAACAAGGGGTCCACAAGTTTCAGATCATTGCGTAACGCAGCTTGTCCTGCCTTCTGGCCTTGTGGGTTGGTACCGTTCGCTCGTCATCTCCATCCAGCCTGCCCGTGAGTCCGTTGTCCACTTCGCATTGGACCCATCCCAGCCTGAGGTTGATCGAGTTGATGTCGCTGTCGTCGTCGTCGCCTTGCCTCTGCCAACCTCCAACGAGCTGCCAGTTGGTAATATTGGGATGCTATTGCTCATCGTCGGCCCGGATGTCGGACCCTTCCAAGTCGCTTTCCATGTGGATAGTGTCCTCCCATTAACTACAGACAGGAGACCGCCCATCGCTCTCGTCTGGCAGTCGATCGCTATGGCAAGTGTTGGGATCCTCGAGTCTCGACCGACCGTCAGCAGAACCTTGTCCCCGTCCCGGAAGCCACAGCAGCAACTTTGAGATCCTCCCAACCGTCGAGAGGCTGATCCTGCACCACCACCACCGTTGATGATGAAATGTCATCCATCGCCTTCCACTGCCGACCCATGCACACTGACTGCATGCAGAGTGCGGGCACCATCCCAGCTCCGACACTCGTTCCGCAGAGCGGCACCACCACCGCATTGCCAGCAACAGCCAGAGTCATGACCCTTGAAAACCGCGGCCATTCCACAACGTTGAGGGAGCAACGCCAGCAAAGGGTGTTCATTCCATTTCCATCCCATGAGCCGCGGTTCGACAAGGACCGCCCTGACGCGGCAATCAACCTTTTCCCTTCGATCGGCCTCCCCTTGAGCTAATTTTCCAACAAGCCCGCTGCCCAGCCATGAGGCATGCCCGGATATCCGGGGAACCCAAGAAACCTTTCGGGAAGGCTCGCAATATGCCAGATGGACCCCATGGACATGACCATCCGGAATGTGGAATTCGCGGCACCCGCCCGCGGTCTTGACGTCTTTCTGAGGAATCTGCCCGGAGACTGTGGGCTCTTTCGCCTGTCAGCCTCCCTTTTCATTCAAAGTCCGCCGGTTCCGATGCTGGCGCGAGCGTGTCGCAGCTCGTTTTTCTCAGACCGAAAATATCTGAAAAGCACAAGACAACGCCAGGGTACGAGGGAGGCTGTCGTCAAAGTTCAGTGATTGAGCTGTCACCCATCAATCAACCGTCAATCAGGCGGGTATCAACCACTGCCTTTGCCATCGTCCACTGTTGCACGGCAGACCACCTACCATGCAGGGCGTCAGCCCACCGACGCGTGCAGGGTCTGAAAACTTACGACAGCTGGTGGCTCAGCCCTCAGCCACTCAGAGCCCGTTTTCGCTCGCGGAGGCAAGCCACCTCCACTAGCTGCCTTAGGGACCGATACACGAGGGAAACACGAATAAACATCCAAGCCCGTAAGATGACGCACTCAGAAACCATGAGTCTCTTGGTCCAATCCTCCTATTCACAGCTCGTGGGGGTGCGACCCAGGCCGTCCCGAGTCTGGCCTGATAGCATGTCGTCGTTATCGCACCTAGTTGTTGGTTGAGCTTGTTCCCAAGAACCCTTGACTGACCACTGAAAAGCCAGCCCTATCCAAAGAGCTGGAGGCCGTGCACCTCATTCGCCAACACGCCTCTGGGCCTGGCTGCTTCAATGTCGGTCGTCGGAGATGCTTCCGCCGTCTTGCTCATTTCAACGGCCTCCATCACGTGCCGATAAGATAAGACCCTGGGCAACCAATCAATAATTTTTTTCTGCATCCCCTCGAGAAGCTCGAGCCTATTGTTTATTTGTTCCAGCCGGTCACGTATTGTCATTTTTGAAGCAATAAGCATTCTATCGCCTCAATCGACTTGCTACCTGAAATAATGGGAAAGAAATCTACCCGTGTCGAGTCCTTCTCTGATAAGGAAGAGGGCGGCGCCAAGCTCGACACACGCGTGGTATGAGCGACTCCCCACGCCTTCAGCCGTTGCCGTGCTAATGTCTGGAGTAGGGCGATGCTATGGACGTAGACAGCACTCCGGCTCCCAAACTAGACACCAAGAAATCCGCCGCCGACGCCCGTGCCGAAAGGGCAGCAAGAAGAAAGCAAAGAAGGGAAGAGCTGGCATCAGGCCAGTCAGCGACCTCATCCATGGCGAGCACCCCAGTCCCGGAGACGAAGACTGCGTCACCGGCGAAAACCGAAGAGAAGCCCAAGAAGAAGAGAGGATCCAGAAAGTCCAAGTCAGCGGCGGAGGAGACCGAAGCTCCTGCTGAACCCTCAACTGCTCCCGCTCCCGCCCCCGCCCCCGAGTCTTCGAACGTGCCTGAGGCCGAGGCCGCGCCACTTCCCTTCATCATCGACGTGAACCCTACAAAGCACACCACCGCGCACGAAGATACACCCAACCCATCAGCCTCCGAGAGGGACACATCGGTGGCGCCGAGCACCATTGCACCTAGCACGGTGAACGGCGATGGCCTCAACCGGGCTGCGAGACGTCGTCTGATGCAAATCGACAGACATCGTATCTCAATCAGGAAGGAGCTCGGTATTCCTGCCGACTCGGATGAGCGCCAGGACGAGGTGGAGACCTTGCTGGCAGCCTGGATCAAGCTGTTCGACGAAAAGGTCGACGCTCGCAAGTCCAAGAAGCTTGCAAGGCAACAGAGCAGGGTAAAGGGCAAAGGCAAGGGTAAGCACCAAGGAGGACGAAACGACAATGTGAAGCAGAAGCAGATAAAGAAGCAGAAACAAAAAGGTGCCCTGAGACGCAGGCAGGAAGCTGCCTCGGAGACAAATTAGCCTCTTTGAGGCTGGACGAACTCCCAATCAGCGGAGGGAGGGGAAAAGGAGTATGAAGAGTGGCGAGGGTTTACTGGATATTACGAGTGGAGGAAGAGGTTTACAGCGCGCATGCGTGATGGCGTCTAGCGAATAATATGGGCGGAATGGAAATCAAAAGTTCAAAGCGATCAGAAGCATATATCCGTGGTGTTGTTGGAATGGGAAGTCGAGGCAAGCCAAAACCTATGTGTTGGCCGGCGTTGCGTTACTCTATTAGATAGTAATGTACAGTACTTAAGGGGAGATATTCAACAGGCCAAGAGTCCTCCCACTCAGCCAGAACGCTGCTTGACAGACGTAGACGTTCTGATGGCCACAACAGGCGGCAGCTCCCAATCCGCAAAATTTTAATCCAACACCTCTTTTTTTTTTTTTTTTTTATTCGTGGTGTACTCATGCCTTCTTGTCATTGTTATCCGCCTCGGCCTTTTTGTCCTTCTCGCCGTCCCAGACCTCCTTGACCTGATCCACAATAAGGTCTCCCAGTCCCTTTCCCTCAGCCAACGCCTTGGCGTGCTCCTCGCCACGCTTCTTGTCCCAGTCCTCGGGCTCCTTGCCGTACCATATCCTCTCCGCGAAGGAGCGCTTCTTGTACTCTATGGCCCGCATCTGCTCCTCCGTGAGGCCCTCGCGACGCATGCGCTCCTCGCGCAGAGCTTGCCTTGTCCTTTGTGCTTGGTCAGGAAGGGTCGTCGGGAACATGGCCTCGAAGCGGGCGCCGACACGCTGGTAGATTGACTGGCCCGTCCAGTCGTACATGAGCTGGTTTGTCGAGGCGGAGAAGATGCTCGAGTGCATGAAGAAGCGCCAGTCCATGCGCCGCGGGGGCATGATCATCATCACCGGGGAGAGGACGGCTGCGGCGATGCAGAAGTTGTGGACTAGGGGAGGGGTGCCGTGAAGCTCGGGCGACCCCTCGAGCCTGGGTGTTGTCTGGTCTGCCATTTTCGCTGTGGAGGTTGTGTGGTTCGAGTGGACGAAAGTGGTGTGTTGAACGTTGCTCGGGATCGTGAAGCGTTCGAAGTGTAGACGGTCGCAAATCGGTATTCCTGAGACTCAAGGGTCAAGGAAAGGACGTTTTGGGCTTCGAAGCGTGGATTGCGCGGGGGGTAGCAAATCAATGACGAGCGACGAAAGCTGTCGATGGAGGGTACAGAAGTGAAATTTCCCAAAAATTCAAGCGCGGCGCCGGCCTAAGTGGGGCCGATCCAGCCCGCAGCCCGCCACGGCATCCGGTGACGGCGGTGATGGCAGTTCACACTGTCTGTCAGGTCTTCAATGTTCGGATGGCATGTATTCCTTCATCAGAAAATTTACATCTTCTGGCAATTCTTAGACTTGAAACAATTTTCATGTTGGTTTATTTCTTCTCATCACCGCCGAGATACGCCATCTAATGAAACTCAAAACTAAATAACGCCTGCAAACACACAAAAGCACAACTTTTCATGATCCTACTTTTGAACTCCGTCTCCAGATGCAGATTGAGATGATTGAACCGAATCCAGAATAGTCGCCTCGTCCTGCCATAAGTGAGCGCCCGTCTCCTTCAGCAGCCTGACACATTCCTCGTTGCCCGTCTTCTCCGCGAGGTACAGCGGTGTGTTGTTCGCGCGGTTGCGTGCGTGCACGCTGGCGCCCCTTGTAAGAAGCTCGCGCAGGATGCTGATCTGGGGCCCGACGGCCGCGAGATGCACCGCCGTGTTGCCGGCGTAGTCGGCCATCTTGAGGAGCTCGCGCTGGGCGTCGTTGTCCAGGATCTCCTTGACCGTCTTCAGATCCCCGTTCCGTACGGCGTAGCCGAGGACAGTAAATGCCGATTCTGTCGCGGTTAGTCGCGACACGACCGAGTCGAGCGATCCGGAAGGGTGCGAAAATACCGGAAGTGCCATTTCTGTCATCTCGCCGCGGAGCGAGTGGGACATGCGTGCGCTGACCTCCGCCGTTGACAGGCCGGACACAGCGAGCAGGTAGGACAGCTTCGTCAGGGCGGCCTCGGCGGTGAGATCCAGGCCGAAGATGACTCCGGCACGGCCGAGCTCGGTGCCGGGGCCGTAGACTGGCGACACGAAGCCGCTCATGCACTGACTGACGTTGACGACGATGACGCCACGGTCCACGGCGTTCTTGATGACCTTTGTCAAGCTGCCATCGATACCGCTGGGGGCGTTGCCCATGCCGAACGTTTCGAGAATGAGGCCGCGCAAGTCAGGGACACGGAGGACCGAATCGAGCATTTCGGGCCTAATACCAGGGAACACGCGCAGACAGGCAACGTGGGCGGTGTCGAGGTGCTGGGTGACCTGAAGCTCGGCAATTCTGGTAGGCCTCAACACGATGGGCCAGTTCACATCGATACCGAGACCATTGACCTTGGCCAGAGGCTCGCAGTTGGGGCTGGCGAAAGCCTCGAAGGCAGCAGAAGAGACCTTGCTTGTTCTGTTGCCACGGAACAGCTTGTGGTGGAAGAACAAGCCGACCTCGGGAATGACAAAGGTTCCTGCAATGATGAGCGAGCCTAGGAGGTTGTCGACGGCGTCAGACTGGAGTGCGAAGATGGAGGCCTGGGAACCGGTGAGAATAACCGGCTTGCCTAGGTCAGAAAGCATGAAAGAAAGGGCCGAAGCCGTGTACGACAAGGAGTCGGTGCCGTGGAGCACCACGAAGCCATCGTAGAGACGGTAGTTCTCCCTGATGGTCTGGGCAATTTCCGTCCAGCCTTCGGCTGAGATGGAGCTCGAGTCCAGCAGAGGCGAAAATTCCAGGACGCCGTAACGAATGTGACGGGAGTAGGCGCTTGGTGGTGTCCTCAAGCTATCCAGAACAACCTTTTGGCCATTCTTGTAAGCCTCGAGTTGCACTACTTATCGTCAGTATGGCGCGGTAAAAGTATTCTGTATGACGTGATGCAGTAGCAGAGAAGAGCGTTCGACTCGCGCGAAGAGTTGACATGAAGAGTGCACAAAACGGCTGCACGTCTTGTTTTTTCATTATTGCACCCGAGACAACAGCGGTGGCCAACATGGCTCCACGGCGTTCTTGGAGTGCCCTCGAGAAATGACCTACCTGAAGGCGACGATTTGTCGTTGAATGAAGGGCGCGGGGCCATGGCATTCTTCAGGAACCCTCCGATGGGCTTGAGACCGTCGGCGGTGGGTTGCATGCAGATGGTGCCGCCTGTCATGATAACCAGGACTCGGGACTCCGGGTAGTTGGACTCTGGGAGGAGCCTCTCGGCGGAGGTTTGGGATGCCATGTTTGCGAGTATTTTGTTGTGAGACAATGAGAGGCTTCGTCGGATAAGAAAACGACAGTACAAAGAAAGAGTTGAAGTTGGGAGTTTATCAGTTGCTGGCGCCTCCACAGATAAGTTGAGGGGCACGGGGTAAGTATGGAGGGGCAGAAGCTTTTGTATGGAGAGCAATATGGCAACGACTGGGTCAAGTCATGGGGTTGTGCAAAATTTTGTAAATTTTGTCTAACGGAGAGAACCATGATGAGCGGTTAGCGATGGTGAAAGCATGGGAGTGGAGCCGGATGGCGAGTCAAACAAGTCATTTGCGGGATGGGCAACTAGGGAATGGTACATGGAAGAGCATGTGGTGTATGCGGATGGCGTCTGGCAATTCCTGGCCGGATCTAAAGTAACTCGAGCTGACACGAGATCAGTGCGTGGTGGTGCTTGACAAAGAAAGACACTCTCTGATAAGGCAGGACAAGGGAATGTGGGCAAATATCGAGGTTGCCCCTCGTTCTCTGAAGAGACACCTTATCGCGACAGATAAGGCGAAAGAGTTGAGTTTTTGATACAACAACTCAGGATGCGAGTTGTGTACCGCGGGGAAGAGACGATGGGACTGGCCCCCGATAGCGGATGGCGGGCAGGGTCAGCGATGGGGTAATAATTAAGTAACAGAACGACCTCGCCAGCTGCGTGACCTCGAACGAAGCCTGGCATGGCTGGTCTAGACACGTTGACGGGCGCTGCGGGTGCTGAGGTGGTTGAAATGGCAGAAGGAGGCATCGAATCCTTATCGATTACATTCTGTTCCCATGCCAAGTCTTTCGCGGGCTGGAAAAAGTGCATCAAGCTTGCCGCTGGATGGCGAATTGGAATCGACTGAAATGAGACTGACTACAACTTGCAGAAACTGGAGCCCAGCATCGGACGATGACGCAGAAGCTCGGAACAAAAATAAAGATGAGCGTACCGGCCCTTGCAAGAAAAGATACGTACCCCTCACGGAGCCTCCAGACCAACGTGGAACTCCCGCGCCATCTTGGGACGTGAATTCTGCCATGTCCACCGCCCGACACCAGTCCATACTCCATCCTCAAGCAAGTTGGCAGGCTGAGACAGCGACCACGACATTTCCCTCCGTCGGAGAACGCCCGTCACAATCTTCACCGATGCCCGCTGCGATATAGTCTTTGCGTTCGATTTCGAACCTAGCAATGCGCTTGCCGCCGATCGGTACCTTCCGCTAATAACCATCTCGCACATACGACCCGAAGAACTGGCACGTCAATCTTTTGTCGCGATCGCCGCTTCTTGCCGCGCAACGCAGCCATCATGGAGTCCAGCGCGCCCAACGCCAGCGACTCGCCTCGCACTTTTGCGATGCAACACCAGCGCCCCAGGACAAGCTTTGTAGGATGCTCGCGAATCACAGATTACGATCTCCTTGGGAAGCTGGGTGAAGGTACCTTTGGGTAGGTTCGCCCTGCGACGGCGCGCTTTCCGTGCTAATCCTAGCTCGACAGTGAGGTGCATCGCGCGAAATCCAAGAAGACGGGAGCCCATGTTGCCCTCAAGAAGATCATTATGCACCATGAGAAAGATGGGGTATGCAAGTTTGGATGCCAAGTTCGCCGCGCAGTCATCTGACAATTGATAGTTCCCCATCACGGCGCTGCGCGAGATTAAGCTTCTCAAGCTCTTATCACACAGGAACGTCCTGCAGCTAGTGGACATGGCCGTCGAGCATCCCCAGAGAGCCAGTAAGTCGCTGCTGAGTCACTCGTCTCCGAACCAACAATTCCTGACGCGGATTGTTACAGGCGACAAGCGCAAGAGGCCAATCATGTACATGGCCACGCCCTACATGGACCACGATCTTTCTGGTCTTCTTGACAACCCTTCGGTCACCTTTACCGAGCCTCAGATCAAGTGCTATATGTTACAACTTCTGGAGGGCCTCCGATACCTGCACGACAACCACATCTTACACCGCGACATGAAAGCCGCCAACCTTCTCATCAACAATAAGGGCATCCTCCAGATTGCAGATTTTGGTCTGGCTCGACACTACGAGGGACCCACGCCTAAGTCAGGGCACGGTGCTGGGGAGGGCAAGAGGGAGTACACTGGCCTTGTCGTCACTAGATGGTACAGACCCCCTGAGCTGTTGCTTCACCTGAAGAAGTACACAACAGCCATTGACGTCTGGGGTGTTGGGTAAGATCCAAGGCCTACAATCTCACTCTTCAGACTATTAACCTGTGGCTAGTTGCGTTTTTGGCGAAATGCTGGTTGGGAAACCGATTTTGGCGGGTGAGAGTGACTCTCACCAGCTAGACATTATCTGGGACTTGATGGGATCACCCACGCCAGAAAACATGCCCCTATTCAACACACTTCCTGGCGCCGAGGCCGTTTCCCCGCGTACGAGACCTGGCAGTTTATCCACAAGATTTAGAGAATACGGCTCAGGGGCTATATCTCTCCTCAAGGAACTCCTCAGACTCGACTGGCGATCTCGCATCAACGCCGCCGACGCCCTGAACCACCCTTACTTTAAGATGGCCCCCATGCCAGCGAATCCCGATGATCTCCCGACCTTTGAAGACAGCCACGAGTTGGACAGACGTAAGTTTCACGACCGCAAAGCAGCTTTACCTCCAGCACCCAAGGGCGGGACGGTAGGCATTGGTCCTGATGCACACGGTGCCAATGCCGGCTTCAACAACACCGAGAATTACTCAAATCGCAACGGTGTGAACGGAAATCGCCATTCAAATGCTCCTGGACCGCACCGGAACGGCGAGGAACGAAGACCAGCTTGGCAGCGCGAGCGTGGGGAACGAGGGCTGCCGCCTAGGCCTCCGCCGCCAGAATATGCCAACGGCGGCCCAATGGAGCGAGACGGCTACCGGGACAGGGATAGAGACCGACGACCCAGAAGCCGTGGAGGGCCACGGCCAGGACCAGATGTTGACACCTACATCCCAAGCTATGGGAGGGACGACGGCCCACGACACAGGGATGACCGGCCCCCGCGAGAACGCCGACGCAACAGTAGGGATGAACGATGGCATGATCGAGACTGGGATCGCCGGACTAGGAGTCGCAGTCGATCTCCAATGAGAGAACGTGACCGTGAACGAGACGGATACCGCAGATAGGGAAAACGAAAACGGGACCCGTGAAGACCGAGTCACAGCTCACCATTCTGAGTATAGTGCTCGAAATAGGTAATTCGCGGAGCCTTGGGGCAATATAATCATTCCATCAGCCAGCGGGAGGCGCTGGAACTGACGATGAAGTTGGTCTAGGCACATCCGGCGTCGGGTATGAGTCTTTTCTTCGTTGGCACGAGCACCTGGATGTACAATAAGATAATGTAAAAGGCGAATCGAGCGGACACAGGAACAGGCGTTTGAGGGGGGAGGCACACTCCCGAACAAGGCTGGTATTAAAGTCTCTCAGTTATCTTCATGAGTGCATTGGTACGCTGTAGGGTATATCAAAGAAAGCCCGGGTTGCTATCAAATTTCAGAATCGTCATCGTCCTCCTCGTGAATGGTTTGAGACCAAAGACCTGGCCTATTCCTACGGCGCTTAGGAGGTGGCTTGTTGAGCAGCTGCCAATCGGTCTCATAAGACGACGAATCTTCGGTCTTACCGGTCCCTGGTCGTTCTGATGATGGCGTCGAGGGCGCAGGTGTTGCTGGCGGACCTTGGTAGCCTCTATCATGCATGCCAAGGACTGTAGTGATGATGCTGGACGTGCACGACATGGTCAAGCCAGCAAGTATGCCGATGAAGGCACCGCAGGCCAGCTGCGTTGGATTAGCACACGAAGATTTGATACCAAGTGATTGGAAAGACCAACAAAAGTATAGAGAGGCTGGCCGGATTGCAGTGTTAGCAGAGTATCAGGATAGAGGAAGGGCTTTCAAGGGAGATCAGCTTACCTGAAGACTGGCTATGAAGTCGATGACAGCTTGACACCATCCAACGATGAAATAACCCATCAATATCAGGGGTGAGAGCAGCATGAGCACCGAATTGATGAACAAAGCCACGGGTTTCCATGCTAGACGCAAGGGAAAAGTAGCTACGGCGACGACGCCGGACGTGTACGATACCAAGGCCATGCTGCTACGAAGATGATGAAACCGTGAATATGTTGTTTGGTTGTCAGTGACGAAGAGTCGCGTGAGCGTGTAAGAACAGTCCTGTGCTTCTCAGAGCATGGCGATTGATCCAATTTACTCAGGATAATAGCTGCAATTGTAGCGAAGAGGATGGTCCAAAGGGGGGAAAGACAGGAATCCGGGGTGAAGGAGCGTCGTGATGTTCAGATGCGATGGCTGGCTGAAATGAGATGGAACGGTAGCACATTCCTTGGCTTGCCCGCTACGCTGCTTGAGCTGGTGGTTGATAGAGCGACGGCTGGTGCACACGCGAGCAGAGGAGACCTGAGATGAAGTTCACTCTTTCAAGGTGTCAAGCAAGCCTTCCGTTGGCGTCAGGTAGTCCCCGCCAGCTCCAGCAGTGCCCAGGGGCGCCCCCAGCTTAAGGTGCACGTAAGGGCCATGTCAGGTATCGGGTAAGCGGATGCCCATGAGTACTCAAGTCCCCATGTTCTCCAGTATGCGATTACGAGTACCGGCCCTGTAGAGCTTAATATCTGCCAGTGCCACTGCCCTCCGCGGAGTCCACGCCCCCCTCCTCCCCCAAAACTTGTTGGAAGATTAGCACCTGCGTGGGAACTTGGGTAATTGACCACCACCACACCACCCCCTCCAACTCGCCTGTTGTTGATTTGACTTCTCATCCAATCTCTGGACCAAAAAAATAACGAGCCGGCCCTTTTCGCCTCTCGTCACTACATCCACCAGCGACCGGTACGCGACCTCCTCCTCCCACGACACAACCGCGACCACAGATTCCCGCCCTCTGCCCGCCGTCGAACCTGTCGCTTCGTTGTCGTCTCTCCTTCGAGAATGCGATAATCAGCTCACAACCCCGCGATTAGGTATCTTTCTGCAATCGCGCCTTACCTAACCAGGATCGCACGAACGCCAGTTGCAGCAACTTGCCCAACGTGGAAGTGCGAGATTGGGACTGCTGCGACCTTCCTCGCCATCTCTCAACCGCCCGTCCGCCGAATCGCTGTCCAGCACTGCCTTGAACTGCGCTGGCCTTGCGCGCCCTTTGCACCGCACGGCACCGCCTCCCGAAGCCCAACCCGCCAGCAATCCCGCGATTGCACCGCATCCCAGGTGCCGTTTCCGCCGGACGTCACACGCCCGCTTACCTGAATACTGGCAGATCCAGACTCCCGCCGGCCTGGCCAGGTAGGGTACCCCGAACCACACCCCAGACCAGGCTCAGGCTCAGTCTGTCGTGTCCCACCCGACGAACAAATCTGGAAGAAGCAAAGCCAACGACAAAATGGGCAACAACCCCTCCTCGTCCTCCAAGCCTGCCACGCCTGTCTCATCCGCCCCAGCGTCGCAGGACTCACCCAAGCACCATCATCACAAGCGGGAGTCCAAACACATCATCCCCCCGCGCTCCGCCGAGCGAGTCGCTGCCCCGCCTGAGCCCTCCCTTACTCAAGCCCAGGGCTCCACGGTCACCAAGGCCAATAAGCCCCTCCAGTCCATTCCCATCTCCAGCTTCACCACCGGCTCTCCCTCCTCGAGCTCGAGTACCTCCGTTCCCCAGCCGAAGCCACCGGAAAGCAAGCACATCATCCGCGATGAGCCCAGCAAGCCCGTAGACGTCCCAAGCGCACCGACCGAATCCTCCTCCCTGAGGTCGCATTACTCCGCTCACATGATTGAACCAGCTTTGGTCTCCAACAACAGTGTCAATGACATGTCGTACATCACCCGCCCTCCTCGTCTGCCTCTGCCTATCGAGGAGGAAATACACACTCCCGGCTCGCCCATCATCGCACCTGCGGACAATGGCGAGGCCTCTGTGACCGAGGTGGAAGCCCTCGATTCGGATGGCATGACGAGGAAGTCGTCGGCGCTGAGCACGACCACTGTCGACGAGGAGGATGGCGAGGAGTTGATCGTTGACAAGACAAGGCCCACCGTGCCGACCCGCCTCGAATGGCGCAGAGGAGGAGGAAAGATCTATGTTACGGGAACAATCTTCCAATGGAACCGGAAACAAAGATTACATCCCGTGTAAGTCCCACTTCTGCGTGTCTGAGTCTCAGCCATGTGTGCGTTACACTCGTGGCTCCCCAGTGGTGTCAGAATCCGCCACTAGAATTGCCTTCTTCGTAGCCAGCCTCGCGCGCAGACCATATTATCAGAAAGCATGTTACTGACCCAGCTCTGTCGAATAGGGACGGTCAACCTGGCGTATTCGCGGGCACGATACACATTCTTCCGGGTACACATCATGTTAGGTTCTTGGTGGACGGAATCATGCAGACCTCGCCCGACTTGCCGACTACTGTGGACTTTGGAAACAACCTGGTCAACTTCATTGAAGTCAGCGCCGACGACCTCCCCGCCAAGGCTCCCGTGGTGCCGGGACCCATCCCCGCGCCCGGTACCGTGGCCAGCGACCAGAGCGCACCCAAGGGCGAGACAGCGCAGGGCGAAGAACAGCCGAAACCCCCCAAGGGTAAGGAGGTGCCGTCGCCAAGTCAATACTTCCACCAAATACCCAAGTACCTGGTCGACTTTGACCAACCTGAAGATTCGCCAGCCTACCAGTATGCTGTAACAGCTATTGAGAAGCTGCCGACACCCCCCAGTCTTCCGGGTTTCCTGGGCAAGCCTATCCTGAACGCCGCGGTTCTCATGAAGGACGACAACAGCGTGCTCAACATGCCCAACCACACTGTCCTGAACCATCTGGCCACGAGCAGCATCAAGAACAACATCTTGGCAGTCTCAGCAACGACTCGTTACAAGAACAAGGTAAGCAGCAGTTCCTAATAAAGAATTGCTCAAAAACTGACTTCATGCACAGTACGTAACGACAATCATTTACAAACCCACAACAACAGACGAATAGGTGGCTCTTTAGACTGAGGTCGAGACAGTCTATTGCTTGGGATCTTAGGCAGCGATGTCAGGGGCGACCTGGGGCAAGCTGCGGTGACCAGAATTGTTACCATCCAGCCAGAGCTGGCTGGCTAGGGAGATCGCGTAGGCATGGAAACGATAGAAATGTGACGACCCTAAACGCCGTGTAAACCGAGCGCATTGGCATCAGTCTCTCCATTTGACGTGGACCTCGTCTGTTCTAAATCGCTGCGTGCATGAGCTGTCCTCCAGCGGTGTTCTAAAGCCTGTCTCGTAAGCCAGCAGACCAGCGTGTGCAATCATGATGCCGTTGTCAATGCAGAACCTCTCATCCGTCGCGTAGACGCTCCCTCCTCTCTCCTTGGCCATCTCGCCCATCATCTCCTGCAGTCTTTCGTTGCAGCCTACGCCACCAACGATGAGAACCTGGTTGCTGCCCACATGCGCCATGGCACGTTCAGTAATCTCAACCAACATGGCAAACACCGTTTCCTGCAGAGAGAAACACAAATCTGCTGGCGTAAACGTCTCCTTCCCCTTGGCCTGGCTCGCCTTCATCTGTGCCGCCAAGATGTCCGCGCTGGCAAGGATGCCGGAAAACGAACAGTCCATCCCCTTGACGGCGTACGGTAGCTCCAACAGCCGCGTGCCCTTCTTGGCCAGCTGCTCGATGTTGTACCCCGGCGCGGGATCGTTGCTGATTTCCAGCGTCCGCGCGAACCGGTCCAGACAGTTCCCCACCGCGATATCCAGTGTCTCCCCAAAGATTCGGTACCGCTGCTCCGCGTACGCGATGACTTGGCTGTTTCCGCCGCTCACGTACAGCACGACGGGGTTCTGCGCGCCGGTGATTGTGCGCCCCATCTCGATGTGTCCCACGCAGTGATTCACGCCGACCAGGGGCTTGTCCCACAGAAGGGACAGCGTGCGCGCCGCGACGGCGACGCTCGTCAGCGGGGCGCCCATGCCGGGACCCTTTGTGAAGCATACGCAGTCGACGTCGGCGACGGAGACGCCGGCCTCGCGGAGGGCGCGGCGCGCGAGCTGGACGAAGAAGGAGCGGTGGTGCTTTGCGGTGTCTTTCGGGAGGAAGCCCTGACCCGGCGGGGAGACGAAGGTGTGTCTGATGTTGGAGAGGATGGTCGACTCGGCGCCGTTGTGGAGCATCACGCCGATGCCGAGCTTGTTGGCGGAGCCCTCGCAGCCGAGGGCGATGAGGCCCTTCTTCTTGGACATTGTCGCGGTCGTGTGCTTCGAAGGGGAGGGGGCCGCTTCGGGAACGGGTGTTGATGGGTCTTGGTCGAGGTCGAGATCGTGGGTCCTCTTTGGCGGTCGGTTTTCGGTCATGGGGAGGAGGGGTTGGGCGGACGCGATGGCTTCGTTCTGGTCTCTGCTCGTCTATCCACGCTTCTGCCGGCACCGATGAGCTTCCCGGTCTGCTCAAACGTATTAAGAGGACTTAGTTGGTGATGCGCTGGTCCCACTCCTGCGAGTATCGCAATTGTGACTCGTCTTCGTCTTTTTTCCGCTCCTCGTCGCAAAAAGGACCAATGGCCGAGACGTCAAAAAAAGTTGACGTAGGAGGGGTAACGCTCTGGTGGGATGTCCCTCGAGAAATGTGGAAATTGTGGGTCCCATCTTCCCTGCCGCAAGCGCTGCCACAACCGTCTCTCCCACCGCACCGGACCCTTTGCTCGCCCTGCGCCCGTGACACCCTGGGCAGCCGCGAGACCAGTCCGTTCCGTCCACCTTACCGACCTTGTTAAGGGTACAGCGGTAACAGTGGGCGGGTGTCGTACCTGAGGCTGCTTACGCAGTGCCGCCGTAAATACACTGTAGAGATGGCGGCGCGGCAAACGCCGTCTCGCGGACAAGACAGGATCACAAAAGATCCGACACACAACACACGGCGCACAGAGGAAGCGGCGGGAAAATACCTACCTACGCGGGTAGAGCAGAGATGGGAAGATGGGACGGACGATGTGGTCGGCCCTCCAAAGGCCCCGTGCTCTTTTCCCACATTAGCTCTTATCTCACACTTCTCCTGTCTATTCCTCCTTCCTCCAAAGGCGAAACCCTGGGCAGCGTATCCGTACCTACAGCGAGGTGTAGTAGCAACAGGCGCGCGGGCGGGCCGGCGGGTTGGTCGTTTATTCCTCACACAAGTTGCTAAGGTAAGGTTCCAACGCAATATCCCCACACCCACCAGCAGGCAAGCCTCGACAAGTGGAACTCCTCTTCTCTCTCACTACACAATTCTTTCTCTGGTTTCCCATGCTCCTCTTCCCGGGTTGCTGAGAAAACCCTCTTTCCCCTCTTTTGGCAATGCTGCAACTTTTCCTCTGAATTCTCTCCAGCCTGGTTTTTAATTTTTAATTCTCCCTCAGAGTCCTGTACCAGCTCCCTGGCTTCCGCATCTTGTGATCGCCGAGGTATCTGCGGACACTGCTCTGCCGAATCGGGGCGTGACAAAGCCAGTCTGCTGACGCCGGACAACCACCAGGCCCAAAAATACTCTCAGCTTCTTTTCTCTCTACAGATACGTACATGAGGTGCTTGCCTTGAAGCTCCTGAACCGAACTATCATGGCAAGGGCTGCCCAGATCTGCCGTGGTGGCTATCGCCAAAGAGGGCGCCCACTGGGCATGACGATTGTCGCAAGCTCTCCGAGTCACATCACCACCGGTCCTTCGTTCACCACCACAAAAGATTGACACTCTCCAGAGCACAGCCAGCTACAGCAAACGACGAGCATGTCCCGCTGCGCCCTACACAAAGAAAAGCAATATGCTTCAGATCACAGAATCCAGCCCTGAGCACCGTCGCACCGTCGCCAGCTGCGTAAGCTAGCATCAACGAAACAGTCTCCTCCCGAAACCGCCAGCCTCCACATGCGCAGCAGACTCTCCGACGGCGGATACACAAGCAAACATATAGCATGAGAAGATGCAAGTCAAAGGTCATTTTTTGATCTTCTATTTGTTGGGGTGTGGAATCTATGTTCCTCTCTTAATGTCTCGTCTCTTGGGGCAGACCACCAGTCTGCTGAAGAGCCTCCGCCGCCATGCTTCCTTCACAGTCATATACTTTACATGAGAGGCACCACAACCCAAAAACGCCACGCCGATCCGACCGTCCTGCCTGCCGCCAAACCATCTTACATACCAAAAAGGAGCAACCAAACACCGAGGGGTATACAACACGTCATCCGGGGATGATGAGGAGAGAAAGGGCGCACTCAAGCCACGGGCAGGCCTCATGAGGCCGCTGCTTGAGCTTGAGCCGCCGGTGGTTGCTGCTGCTGTTGCTGCTGCGGTTGCGACTGCTGCGCGTGTTGCGGCTGTGGCTGCGGCGGTGGAGGTAGTGCCGGTCGGCTGCCAGAGACCCCAGCAACTTGCGTAGGCACTACGTTAGGCATACCCTCTTGTGGTATTTGCCGCCTCGGATACACATATTGCGATAACGGGATGGTCGCGCGGAACTTCAACGCCCTTGTGTCGTAGGGGTCGACTTCGTACACCGGCGTCTCTTCCTCGTCATCCTGGTCATACTTCCACCGATCCGAATAATCCTCGCCATCCATCCGCGGAGGCGTTGTCAGTCCCCGGCGGTCTATCCACAACCGGTTCAACCGTCCTATGCGACGGCGGAATGCTGGTTGGCTGTTTGGAGGCTTCTCCTTGCCGCCAGCAGTGAATTGGAATATCGACATATTGCCCCTTTCAACTATAGGCTCTTCATCATCGATATCCATGGCGTCTGACTCGGATGAGGTGGACGCTGGAGGTGTCATCAAATATTGGGTCTTGGCGGGCCGGAAGTTGATTTCCATGCCCTGTTCCTTGACCGGAGATAAAGGATCTCGGGTGAGATCCACATGGTTCTGGTTCCACTTCCTGTGGTTGTGAACCTTGCTCTCAACATCCGCCCGCAGCTCGTTCTCCTTCTCTGCGAGCTTGTCTGAAAGTTGCACAAGGTCTGCTTCCATGGAACGACCGTCCGGCCGCACAGCGATGCGCAGATGGTTGCCTGGGGGTCTCTGCAACGCAGGAGCTTCCACTGGCTTCTTCTTCTGAGGCTGCAAGCAGTTAACATCCATCCCGATGCGATTCTTCGAAAAGAGCGCTCGACATACCTTTTGGTTGATGAGATCGTCGTCCTCGGTTTTGATGCCGAGCTTGACCTTCATCTCCTTAAGCCTGGCTCGTTGCTCGAAAATTATTCGATCCAAGTTAAGGACCTCACGTTTCAGCATCTCACGCTCATATGAGTGGATGATGAGTTGACGTCCATCCTCGAGCTCTTTGCGAAGTCGCTTGAGTTTCTCGGCACTCTGCACATCCCTCTGCCTCGTCTTTCGCGTTTGTCTGGCCTCACGACGTCTGAAGCAGACATAAGGGTCGGCCTCGTCGCTTTCTTGGTGCGTCTCGAACTTGACGGACGGGTGCAGGGGCTTGTTGCCGGTGGCCTGCCTTCGCGACTTCCAGTGCTCATACACGTGCTTGGAATGCGCCATCAGCTTCTGAGTGCCGAGCTGGCTGATTTGAGGAAGCATTGTCTCATAGCTGACAACAGTGTTGTCTATTGAGGCGAATGGCGTCTGTTCTGAGGCCATCTCCTCAAAGACCTCCATGATGCGCTCAAAGTCATCTTCGGACAGCTGAGAGGCGACGGTCTTCTTAGTAGAATTGTACTGCTTCAAGAACTCATCGTCCTCGGTTGTCATGTCATAGGAAACTCCTATGCATTCTTCAACGGTCTGTGAGAAGCGGATGTACGAGGTAGGTTGCTGGAAGTGACTAGGGTAGAGTTGATCATAGTTGATCTGGCTCTCCTGAGGAGGCGGGACTGGAATTTCTTGGTCATTGCTGGTGCCTGCTTCCTTGAGAATGGACTGAAGATGGTATTCCTACAAAGTTAAGGTCAGTATATTTGTAGTGTCACCACCGGCCGAGTGGTCGGTCAGTAGAGGTGGGTCGCCCGATTGGGAGGCAGGCCAAGGTGGGTCACATGATCATATCACGTGATATCTGGCTGCGATATGGGAGCAAAGTGACTCACAGTTTCCTCGGCGGCTTCGACACCGGTCGCGATTTGAGATTCGGTGGTTAAGGATTCGTACTCGCTGGGATCGATATCATCCTCTCTGAGCACCGGAAGCAGCGTCTTGACGCTCAACTTCTTGACTCGGACTTTCCTCGTAGACATGGTGGCGGGTGGGGGGGTGGAAGGCGGAAAGCCGGCGGAAAATCCGCAAAAAAAGTCGATCAAGTCATATACCAGGGCATGCGACTTTGACTTTGATGCTTTTGAGGGATAAAAATGTGGTTGTGGTGTCTGTTTTGATGATCGAACTGTCGCTGCTTGATGAGGTGACGTTGAGATGGTCGCGGCGTGCGAAAACTTTTCTCTGACAGTCGCCAAAAAATCCGTCGTCTCGAGCAGACTTTGGAGTCGTGTCAAGTACCGTGCAGCTGAATTTCGGTGAGGGAGTACTTTGGCGCTCGGACCAGGTCGGGACCTGGAAGGTAGACTCGCCGACTTTCTTAGGCCTGGGGCGCCTGGCACCTTCCACGCCCAAAAACACGCCGCAGAATAGGGGAAGGCGCCTTTGGTCACGTGCTGCTTTTGCCTGATGATGGCGACAACAGCAACAAGCGCTGGAAAGAATGCCAAGCACCATCACTTCTGGAACATTTTCCTCATCGGTTGAACGTGTAGATGCATCTCGTTCACCCATCTATCTCACACATATCTCCGAAACTCAAATGGTTGTGGTGATACATCTGATACTTGCCGCTGTTGACGTCGTGCACCTATCGCATGCTAGCCAATTGTCGCGGTGATTGACGTCTGGTCCGTGCACGAGCATCTCCGGTTCAGCTGCCCGAATCCAAGACTCAGGCCAATCAAGAGCGAGTCGGCTGCCTTACCTCAACTTGACATTCCCGCACCACGTCTGTAGTTAGCCTCGCGCACTTAGAAACCTCCCTACTCCCATCTCGGCGAACCCCACGGCGGACCACGATATCGAAGCTCGACAAAAGCCCACTTGCGACGGCCAACACGATACCGAAACCTGGCCCCCTTTTCCCACCGCGCATCACCACAGCTTCCGTCGAGATCGATCGCCCACATTCTCCATCATGGGCAACACTACTAGTGCGGTGTTGGACAATATCGTCCAGGGGTCCAATTGTGAGCCCCTCCCCCGCAGTCAACTTCTTTGTCGCACAGACTTGGGCGGCATGCTGACGGGCAGACAGTCGACAGAGAGGAGGTTGACCGTCTAAGGAAACGTTTCATGAAGCTCGATAAGGCATGTCTTTTTCTTTTTTGCGTCCCTGGCATTCCATCTTGCAGTCGCGCGCATCGCCGACCCATGTCGTAAGTGGCACCGACGCTGACCGACTCTCTCTGCAGGACAACTCCGGCACAATCGAGCGCGATGAGTTCCTCAGCCTTCCCCAGATTTCTTCCAACCCTCTGGCAACAAGGTACGAATTAGGTCGATCGGTATCCCACATAGATCGGGCACAATGCTAAGGATGTCTTTACGCAGAATGATTGCCATCTTCGACGAAGACGGTGGCGGCGACGTTGATTTCCAGGAGTTCGTATCAGGTCTTAGCGCCTTTTCTTCCAAGGGAAACAAGGAGCAGAAGCTGCGTTTCGCTTTCAAGGTGTACGATATCGACCGCGATGGTTACATCAGCAACGGCGAGCTGTTCATTGTGCTCAAGATGATGGTCGGAAGCAACTTGAAGGACCAGCAGCTGCAGCAGATCGTGGACAAGACTATCATGGAGGCGGATCTCGACAAGGATGGCAAGATCAGCTTCGAGGAGTTCACGAAGATGGTGGAGAACACGGATGTCAGCATGAGCATGACGTTGGGTGAGTTTTGATATTCTGACGTTCAATGCGCTTGGCAAAGGCTGACAATACGTTCCAGACACATTCTAGAGAACGCATCTTGATGGCAAGCGGGATAGGATCATGAGACATGAATTGCAACACTCTTCTGGGTAGAGATACACCAAACCTCCTTTGGGCGGCACAGCAACCGTCGCTCGGTCTGAATTGAAATATGTCTTGGCTTCTGGGCTGCGCATCCTTCCCCATGGTGACTTTAGGCCGCTTCAATCGCACAAGAAATGTAAGTTACGTGCAGCAAATGACGTGTTCAGCTTTGGCTATGCCTAGTGAGAATTGGTACTGGGCAAGGCCAAGCGGGCAAGAAAAGGGAACGTAGTCAATGGTTGGTGGACGACACTAACGTTCTGGTGTAGCTAGCTCCAATTTAGACGCTTATTTGCCAACCTTTGCAGCTGGACGACAGAACCTAGCGGTTCCGGTTGTGGACAACTGCCTCCGTGACGTGCTCTCGAGAAAATCACCCTTCAAGCACGCACTGCAACAGCCCATTCCCTGTTTCTGGTTGGGCATCAGAGCGCTGTGGACGGCCCCTAATCGCATCAAGCTGAGAAAGCGATATGCAACGCTGATGGCAGTCCCGGCAGCCGTGACCCGTGCTCTGACGCCAGCAAATCTAGGGGAAACGAGTGTAGGATCTGCTGTGGTTGCCGTCAAATCCTGCGAATCGAAATATAGGTTGTTGCATGCCTTTGGGAGGAAAGTTTCGCTGCGTCAGTTCGTCTGAATGTTCCATCTCAACTTGTTCTTTTCGCCATCCAGAACTATGAGACCGACGTAAATATCCCGTGGCAAGTGTCCAAGCGAGCATATGGAAGTCAGATAACAGCGTCCTCCAAAATCGTCCCATGAAACCAGCCGATTTCCCTATTGACTTAGGTCATGTCCTTGAGTCGAATGCTGTCCAATTTGCTCATCTCGCGTTGAGGCTCATGCATGAGATCTCAAATTGACACCTATTTCTACGCCTTCTGCACCTATGAGCGGGGGTACCCGGGGTGTGCGTCGTCCGGGAGTTCAGTTGTCTTATGTCGCTGTGCACGGCTTGTGATTAGAGCTTCATCAATTGGTTTTGAAGATCTTGCTGCTTCCTCTCCTCTATCGCCGCCTATTGTGAAGCCCGATGATTCTGCAGGATGTTTTTGCTTGGATTGAGGACAAATACATAATAGAGTAAGCTCTCATTGAAAGCACTAGAAAGAATTATCCGGCGATGCTCGATGATAGCTGGTGGGACCCTGTGGTCTGGAGTTTCAAAGCCTCAGGGCATCCGAGCCCACAAACTCCATAATAGTTTTCTTCTTTCCATGAACCTATGTCAATTATCTTCATCTCAGCTGTGACGTGTGAACCCACTTTCCTTCCCAGTTGCCAGTGAGTTTTGGATGAAAGATAGGTATGAACGTTCTGGAGCATGGGAACACGCCACCATCTTGTTCTGCAGTACTCCCATGCGGTCTTTTTCATAATACTTCGGGTAGCAGACCTGAGAATTCAAAGGTTCGAAATGCAAACTAAATCCGACCAAGTGCGTTAAGCCCCCTGTAAGGAGTGAAATTCGTGGAGGGGATCGTCATGAGTACCGAATCTGAGACGATTAACTCCTGTGAATGGCTTCTGTGATTATAAAGAAAAACCACATAAACTTATATCCGTCGAATCCGGTATGTAGAGTAAGCTTGAGACAGCGAAGTCTGAAATCTAGCACTAGTGGTCGCTTCACTCTTCCCAAGAGCGTTGCCACGGCTCAGGGTCAATGGTGAAAATCAAGTATAATTGAGTAATCCTTCTTATGAACTCTTATAATTCGGTAGTCAGATTGAAACTTTTCACTCTACAGTATCACGGTTTATCTACGTCGAGAATACGCCAAGTGAAGTGAAAACAGAAAGTGGCAATGAAGGAAATCTGTCGCAATGCTATAATTAACTTGATTTCCTAGAAGCTCTGCTATTCTCCCTACCCTCGAGCTACTCGTTTCTGTAGTCGTTATTAACACTGCAGTCGTCTCCTCTTCAAACACGACCCCAACATCATCAAAAAGACATGGCCATTTGAGGTGTGCACGAGAAAGAAAGACAATATTTACCGAGATCAAGTAGACAAAAACGAAAAGACAAAAGCCGAATGGATTCGGGTCATCAGCACTTGCCCTTCAATCTAAGTTCTGATTGCCTTAGTGGACTTTAGGCTGAGTATTATTATCATTCCTTTTCCCCTTTTTTCTGTATCCAAACATCGATGTTCTGAACTGAAGAGCGAGAGCCTTGTCGTTGGGCCACAGCATACTTGTTGAAATGGCATGCTATAAACACACTCAAACCTCCCCACTCATGGTGTCCTTGTTGCCATGTGGGCTTGAAGATAAGATTTGAGCTAGCACAGATGAACGTTCTTTAAGGGCCCCCCTAAGGTAGACGAAGTTACTATAGAAATGAGCGTCCACAGTTTAGTGACATGTCCTGCTGTATCCGTTTCTGGACGTTCTTGGACGAATGCGAGACGACAGACAGTCTCTGGTTTCCGGTCGTCGAAGATTTTTGAGAGTACACCGAATTTGCTGACATTGAATGTAAGATGTCTGATGTCACATACTGCAATCCTGACACGGATCAAACAGCCGTGAAAGCACTTGCTGGATTAGGCTTTCCCAACAGCTTGGTTGTATGTGCCATCCAGTCGGTACGCCTGAACTCCCTTGAACCTGGCTGGCTGACTAGGTGTCGGCCTCAAGGTGCGTACCACGAGCAGAAACCAAATGTTCCACGTCAAGGTCTCTGTACATGGCCATTAAGAACGCGTGGGATGTCAGGACTCGGATTCCAAGTGGACAGGGACAGGCTGACCACAGAGGTAACAACGTGGGTGTCACGGGTGGCCGAGAAGGATTCCCCTGTCTCGCACAAGCCAATGACGGGACCGCTAAGTCACTCCAAACAACTGCGGCCCCTATGTCTCGGGCGTTGGCGTCAAATACTGCTTCTCGTGAGGTGCTGACCATTATTGGACTTGGGTTGATTTCCTTAAACTAAGCATGTTAGGAGGCTTGTGCATGACCTTACGTGGCTAGCAAAAGAACATTAGATGGGGGATGTTAAAAGTCCCAACCCAGGGCAGACCGGGCCGAGCGGAGCCGATGACTTCCGGGACCCACTCCGGGATTACCGGGTCGTCAACCTTCTTTTTCCGGGAGGCGCGGAGAAGCCACATGCGAAGGCCCGGATCCAGAAACGGAACACGCAAAAAGTCATGTACGGGTACAAACATCACCAAGCCCCGTCCGCTCCACAGTGGCTCTCTGCTGGGCATGGATCATCAGATCATGTCTGTTCACACGCAACAGGGAATCCTCTTTTGCTCCCACCCCTCGCATATCGATGCCCTTGTCCCCAGACTGAGGGCGGGTGTGTGGTGGAGAACACCACCAGTAACTCAGCTGCGCCGGGAAAAAAAGTGACAGGTCATTTTCCTCAACTATGCAACCAACACAAAAATGACAAAAGAGAGACGTGCAGGAGTCCCTGTCCCAACACAAGCCTCCCAACCATGGCACTGGGAAATTTTAGGGGCGGGACACAGCACAAGATGAAGAAAAAAAAAAGAGGGAACGGAAGCTACGCTGCTTAACTGGAAGGGGCATAGCAACGCCGCCCTACAACAAGCATACGGCCTGATACGTAGCTGCGAACCCGCCTCGGCCAGAGACAGGATGATCGATACTGCGTCGAACGGCGGCCTGCCTGTTCCGAAGAAGATCTGCGTCTCCCGCTGCTTGGATCCCGCGCGCCCTTTCCAGAGTGCTGGGCTCGCTGGGCGAGACTTTGTCTTCACACCAAGTAGGGATAACGTGGCCGGGACTTGGACAGGGCGGAATGGGCCTTTGATTGATTTTTGAGGCGAGCGGCGGCACGGCGCGGCCATTCAAAAAGTGGAGTTTCATCCATATCTTGATCTGGTGATCGACTCGTTTGGACGTCTGCATGTTGCGCGCCAACTCGACCCTTGGACAATTTCGCATCTCCGCCCGACAGTGGTAATGTAATGCAGCGCCCCTCGCAGTTCCGCCTCGAGAGAGAGTAGGTGTGTTGTGTTTCTCTCTCGGCCGGCAGCCCTGTTTGCAAGACAACCAGGGTAGCTCAGCCGTGTTTCAATATCCCCCTCGCTCTAGCAGCACAGAGAGCAAGGCCTCCCAGAGCAAAAGCCCCCGGTGATCTGCACTCTGGACTCTTCCCACTCAGATCATGCGCGGACCAAGACAATGCCATAGTACATGCCCTACTCCGTACACCCACCAACGCTGCTCCACCCGCCTTCCTCCCTAGCCTCACCTTGCGCATTCATATTTCTTATTCTCTAGCCGGGTTTGATTCTCTCTAGGGATGGCAAAGTGTTATCAAAAATCAGCAGGCCGGGATGTTGCCGGTCTCTGTGTCACATTTCGCTCCTCCACATCCTTCATTGTTCACCTGATATCGCAGCATGCAGCAACTCAGAGCGATGGGGCATCGTCTGTAGCACCCCACCATCCAGCCCTGGTTCCGTTTAATCCACCTTCTTGTTGCCCACCTTCCCTGTCTTGTGCAGCCCGACAAGGCCAAGGGCGAAGCAGAGCACCATGAAACCAGTCATTGCCCAGAAGCTGGCTCGGTAGCCAAGGAGGAGAGCGTCGATTGGCGCCTCCCGCGCTGCCGCCTTCTTGGTCACCACGCCCGCCACGACCTGCATGATGGCAAGGCCGAGGGAGGTCCCGAACTGGGATGCCGCATTGAACACTGCTCCTGCCAGTGCCTGCGTATCTTCCGGGAACGCCTCGGACACAATAATGAGGCCGACGGTGAAGAGAATGTCGCCGCTGATCGGCTGCAGGAGCTGGGCGAAGAAGGCGTTGTACCAATATGGCCACTCCGGCTTGGCGAGCGCCATCAGGACCGGGCCGCCGGCGCAGACTATCGACGAGCCGGCCACCAACCATCGGGCAGAAACCTTGTGGACAAACAGGCCAGTGGTGAAGTTGAGGATTATGCCGACGACAAGGCTTGGGAGAAGCCGGGTGGACGTCTCCGTTGCAGACAACCCTTGTACCTCTTGAAAGCTGCCAAAGTCAAGATTAACCGTGGCTGTTCCAGCGCCAGTGGGGCGCTTCTACTCACAACAGACTGCAGTATTGCTCCATCGACTTAAGTACCGCGAAAGACAACAGCATGGTGGCGCAAACGCTCGAGAAGGCTGTATTGCGCCATAAGCTGTTTGGTATCAAGGCCGGTTTGCCGAGGCGCGTCTGGCGGTGAACCCAAGCGACAAAGGCAGGCAAGGCGAAGCCAGCCGCACACAGCGTTGCAATGCTATCTCGATGGCTTACACTGCCAATATCGGAACTTGCGATGCTTGATGGCCATTCGTTTAGCAGCAGCCTCGACATGTGGTATTCAGAAGAGAATCAACTTACGCCAAGAAGTACGACAAACAGACCATGAACCCGGATGCCAGAAGCGAGCCAATCCAGTCCATTTTCCTCTTCAGTTCGTGGACAACTTCAGATGCCGTCCGCCTGTCCCTTGACTTTGGCAGCGCCCACAGTCCGACGAAGGACAGGAGCAAAGACAGCCCCCCGGTCAGGTAGAAGCCCACGCGCCAACCCACCGTATCTACCAGCACCCCACCGAGCACCAAACCAACCGAGAATCCCAAAGGCTGGCTCAGTCCAAGACATGAAAACGCCACATTTCTAGCCCTGCCCTTCGGGATGGACTGCGTCACGAGGCTCACGGATGATGCCAGGTGCATGGACATGGCGACGCCTTGGAGTGCACGATACGCCACGAGCTGCTCGCCTGACTTGACGAAGCCGCTGGCCAACAAGAGAAGGGCCATGGAGAAACAGCCGACTAGGTCCACGATGCGACTCCCGGCCGCGTCGGCGAGAGAGCCGACAGGGAGGATTGTCGAACCCACGGCAAGACCGTACACCGATATGGGCCAGACGTGCAGCTGCTCCGGCAGATTGAGCTCGGCGACAAGTGTAGGCAAACTGACTAGCATAATTCCGTTCACAGCCGAGGACAAGAAGTTGAGGCCTGACTGCTGGAAAGTTGTCGTTGCTTGGCGGGCTTTGGACGCTGTAGGGCCACCACTCTGATTCTGTCTCTCGGTCTCGAGAGGGAATTCGTTGCGAACATCTCGCAAGCCAATTGACTCATGGCTGAGTCGGGTGGTTGTCACGGTCGACATGATGAGGGATTGAGTTGGACCTTCCGAACAACCAAGACTCTTGGTGGGACCAACTCAATGATATTGGTCAATTTAGGATGACTCAGAGTTGAGCGAGACGACTATCAACGAACTTGTATCTAATCAACCGCCATTTTCCGTGACTCAAGGCTCAATGTCACTCAACGTTGCCCAGGCCTAGATTCGCAGCATCATAATAACGAAAAACTGAGCGTCGTAATTGCGTCAACAAACATTATACTGCTGAGTGAGGGAAGATGTTAAATAACGAGCATGTTAGTTGCTGAGACACAATTCAAGAGACAAACCGGAAAGTCTCTTTAAAAGTATTGAGACTTTCCTGCGCCATCGCACTCCCTCCACGAGCGCAATTTACTTTACCTCGCGGCGGCGTTCTCTTCCTAAACGCCCTGTCTCGCCTCACAGCAATCAACATTGATACCATGCCGTGCCAGACAGACAGGTCAGCAGCGCCCCCTCCCCCACGCCACATCCAGCCTCCTGCAAGGTTCCCGCGACTTGTCACATTGCATCACATCACACACACACCCATAACCTGCCCGTGTCACAGTATTCCAGATTCTGTATGATTACTATCCGTACGTACCCAGCAGCATCAACTGCCCTTGCTTTTCTCCCCTGTCCCCCTTCAGTCACGCTGTCAAGGGCCCCGGTCACCGAGGCAAACAGCGCCCGGGAAAGCGTCAACCAAAGAATCTGGTCACATTTTCCCCTTGCCGTTCGCCCGTCCGTCAATCAGCCAGACCTCGGGCCAATACTGATGTTACTGTGTATTTTGGGGCGGGCTGCCAAACTTGCGCGCAAGCCTCTTTGAGACCACAGCCTGCGTCTGATAGGTCAGCCAAAGTTGACCTAACTGCCTGCCAGCCGCATTTACACGGGAATAGGTGCAGTTTGCACAAACGCCATTTCCGCAGGACGACCTCCCCTGTCCCCTGACACTTTGTACCTGCTATGCAGTGCACTGCGCAATGCCGCACAGCCAAAGTGCCAGAAGCACCTCAAGAGGGGAGGGAAAAAACACCTCACCCTGCACGGAAGCTGTACATGCAGGCAGGTTCCCTTCCCGCATCCTGACCTGCAAACGGATCCTGCTCCGTCTCACTCAGCTTCTAGTTTCCACCACCTACGACCTACCTTACCTTCAAATCCCGAACTGATACACACAACAGCCCAGGAACTGTCAATCACGAGCATACGCCCTCTCGGCTCGCTTGCCGCGGGCCAAAAAACCAGAACTCCTGAGTCGGGTCACGATCACGATTGATGCCCGACCCCAAGAGCCAGAAGGAGGGGTAGAAGGAAAGAAAAAGAAAAATTCTCGAACAGAGACCATCAAAACGGCTTAGTGGCCAAAAAATAAAAAAGAAGATCCTCAAGGGTCCAAGTCAGCCCAAAGACGATGCGGAGAAAAATCTGGATTTTGCTTTCCCCCCTCACACTCCCACCCCCTCCTCCCTTCCTTCCCACACACACTCCAATACCGTATCCGTACCGAGAACATGTAATTGATAGGTCCAAAGTCGAAAAGAGTCCAGACCACCACCACCACCACCGCCGCCGCGACTCTCCTCCCATCTGGCGTCACTAGCCTCTTTTCCAAGGCGGGAGATCGGCGCAGAAAAACGTCGTCATTCCATTCCTCGAGAGCCACTCGCGCTCCCCCTCCAAAGAAAGGGTCGTATGCATACGCCGCCGCCTTGTGAGAGGCAGGCCGATTGGGCACGAATGAATCCGCCGATCCCCCTCCTTTTCTTGCTGTAAGTCTGTTTGGCCGTCTCCGCCTCGGGCTGTTTCCTCCAATCTTTCGGCTGTCAGTCCGCGAGGCAGCAGCAGCAGCAGACAGAAAGCGAGACAGACTGTCGTTGGGATGGGAACCGCACCGCCGCCGCCGCCACTCTGACCCCATGTTACGGCCCATGTAGTCACCGATCACCCGCATGAAGCTTACAAGGCCATGTATGTAATCAAATAAGCGTAGGGCAGAAAGATCGACGGTGAGGCGCGTGGGATTGGGTGGCTTTTGTCCCTCTCGTCTCTAACCCCCCAAACCCAACTGAGTGAATTTCATGTGTGTCAAGGCATCGGGCTATCTACTTGCTTCTTCTTCTTCTTCTTCTGAAGATGTCACATTGCAATTTGGCTGGCTGTATCATTCATGCAAACTACAACCCCCTCCTCGCTTCTCATGTTTGATTGTGACAGATCCAGGACAAGATACGTACAAGTACATACATGCATTTTGTGGTGGCAGATGTGAGGAGTACCATGAGGAGTGGGTGCAGCCGGCCCTATCCATCTCTCTCCACTCACACCCAAGGACCATGGTACAGATGATTTGATTCCACGTAAATGAAGCAACAACAAGCAAGAAACGTAGTCAAACGAGTAACCAACTTTGATGAGCGCAAACGAAATCGACAATAAACCCCACCCGCCCTAAAAATGTTGCGCGCGCGCAAAGAGGCGACGACGACGCAAAGCTCGTGAGAGCATTCCGGCCTGATCTACTTACTACCAACCACTTTCCGTAGGTATACATGAAATTCTACAGGAGACATACACACATCTTTTTTTCTGTTTTGTTCTCATCCCTTCGTTTGCGAGTATCCGGCCTCACTTTTCCCTTCTTTTTTTGCCACCAAAGTCGTTCATTCCTCGTCATTCCTCTTTCATCCCGGTACGCCCATCTATGACCGGTTCCCAATATTCGTTTCCTCCCGCCACACCCTGCCACCCCCTTCCCATGATAGAGACAGAGAGAAAAAGCCCAAGCCTGTCACCCGCCTAGCGTTCTTGTTCAACTTCAAGTTCCCCCCTCCTTGAAGGGTAGCATCCACCTGAGCCCCGCGCCTCCTCGAGCCTGAACTAGCCCTTCAGACGATAGCGGCAGGGCTTGTGTGCCCAAAGGCTGCCAAGGGGGGGAACAAGCAGAAGAAGAAAAAGCAAGGAAACGAGAAAAGAAAACAGAGAAAAAGAGAAAAAGCAAAGAAAAATCAAACCCCGAAGAAAATCAAGAACGGATGCCTCGTTCATGATGCTGACATGGATACCTGATACCTGCCCGACCACCTTTTGGAATGCGAGAATGATGAGCAGTTATCCTCCGATGAACTCCAGTTCCACGTGACATCGTGTTGATAACTCGTCCCTTTGTCACAAAGACGTCCGAATGCCGAGAATGTACATTTGGGGGGAAGAAGCAAAGAAATAGTAGAAGGCCGCCCATGGTGTAATAAACAATCCAGAGAGAAGCCATCCACCGAAGCGCCGCCATCCAGAGTACGTTTACAAGCATTTCAACATGCCCCGAGATCCAGTCGTGTTCTTTTTTTCCGGCATGATCCCAGGGGTGGGGGGAGAAGCAGCTGGCAAATCCCAAGTCCTCTTATCTGCTCCCGTGGGAGCCGGAGCCTGCCTGGTTTCCGCCGCCGTTTCCGCCAGATTCCTCGTTCGCCTCGTAGAGGTCCAGGCACGCCTCGAGAACTAGAACCCTGCCGTTAGCTTGATTTGCGCGCACATGAAAAAGAGTTTCAAGGTTATGCAAGGCTTACTCTCGATGATCTGCTGTTCCCACACGCCATATTGATAATCAACCAGCCCGTGTCGCTCGATGCCATCGCACAGACGGACCAATTCCTTGCCCATCTTTTCCAAGCCTTCCTTGCTGATCAACGTCTGGGATCGTTGGAGTTGGCGCCCTGGTTCCATCAAATCCTTCTGCATCTGGAAAAGCGCGAGCCACGCGTGGTTGAAATCGTTCCAGAGCTTGATTCGGTCTCCATGCAGATTTTGGTCGTCGAGGTTGAGTCCTGCGAAAATCCTTAGTCTTAGCAATTTTGAACGCGTAGGAAAAGTCGGCATCTGCCGCGAGTGGCTCGCAAAGCTTACCCAGGTCAACAACTTGCGACAGTAGCCAGTTGGAGACGTCGAGGAGAGACTGGCTGGCGCTCTCGAGGATGCCGTTGCGGACGTTTTGGAACACGCCCCTCAAAGCAGACTGGTACTCCATCCACTTCTCTTCCAAACCACCTGTCGCAGAATAATCCTGCTCCTCCATCGAGACGTCGGCACTTGCTGTCGGCTGCGGCATGCCTCCCACATTCGAGATGTTGGTCTGGTAGTTGGCCATCTGCGGCTGTTGATAAGCGGTCGCGGTGGCGCTCGCGGATGGCGCATGAGGGAGGTTGGAGGTTCCTGTGCTGCTGCTCGGGTCATTCTGGAAGTACGACGTTGACACGTCTGTCGGTAAGATCGGTGCAGCTGCAGGCTGCCGTTGAAACTGCGCTTGATTGTCGTAAACAGAGCCCGTCGCGCCAGTCAAGTTGTCGTAGCCCATCGTCATGGCCGCCGCATTATATCCACCGAAATTCTGCGCTGCCGGGCGACCATCCTGGCCGTATCCTGAGGGGTAATGCATTGTGTTTGTTGCCATTGGCGTGTTGAAAGATCCTGCTACCGGTTCCTGATAGTTGTACGTGCTGTAGCTACCCGTGCTTCCCATGCCCCGCGCTTGTGAGGGCGATGTGTTGAGCGGCGCCGGCCGGTTGTATCTCTCTGTCGAACCTGTAGCCATTGAGCGGCGCTGCTGCAAAGGATCCTGAATGTTGTATCTTGGGTTGGAGGTGGGATGCATGGGCGCTTCATTCTGCCTCCTACGGCGATTGGGATCATCCATCCCACGAGGGGTTTGGTCGCCGGTCGACTCCGAAGGCAAGCCTACCGTGTGCGCCGGCGGCAACGGAGCTGGCGATGTGTACAGTAGGGCCAGGTTGGGCCTTTGGATCGGTCACGGGACCGTCCAGCGTGGGTGTAGATTCCCTCGGAGTTGGTGGTGGTGGTCGTGGTGGTGGTGGGGGGAGGAGGATGATTTTTTTTTTCCCTCTTTCTTTTTTTCCCTTCTTTCCAGACGCTTCTGCTGTCGGGGACAAAACGCGACGAGATGACCAGGACGAATGAGTGATATCGTTTGTCGGTCCGGGGAGCTTCCTCGAGGCGTTTGCTCTAAACAAAAGCAACGTACCGACGTGCGTTTGCTTGTTGGAGAGGGGTGTCTAGACTCGAGTAGAATGGGCGCGGCGGCAGTGGCGGATGGTTAAGTCGCGCGTCTAATGGGAAGGGCGCCGCAGGTCGGGAGTGGTTGGATTTTGAAGGTGTCAAAGGAGATAAAGGTAAGGAAGCGTTGACTTGGGGCGAGGGGGCCTGATGTGTGATGCCGATGTAGGGTCTGTCTGATGTCGAGCCGGGCAGCGCAGCACAGGATGGGCTGGCAGATCCTCGGGCGCGGGTAATAGAAGGTGCTTTTATGAATTGAATTGGGGAGGGAAGATCCGGATAGATTGAAGAATGGGGGAGACAAGGAAGTTAACTGTTGAGTCTTGCTTGTCGCGACAAAGCTCGGCGAAGCTAGCGCCGGCCTCCTTCATGCCCTGACGCCTGAAGGTTCGGGAAGACAAGACGACGACTGGCGACGAGTCGTTGGTGTCTTGTGAGTCGTTAGAGAAGTTTAGATTTTGGTAAACAAAAAGCCAGCGAATGGGGTGGATATCGCGCTGAGTTGTCAAACTGGTGTCAGGTTTGATACCAGGAAGATCCCAGATGCCGCATGCACCACGATGTCCAACATTACAAGCTGGTCCTTGCGCGATCTGCTTGGGCAATGAAGCCGCACCAGGGTCTCAGCGACTGTCGAGTCGCCTTGACGGAAGATGCGATTCGCCAGACGAGGAAAAAGGACCGGGCGGACCGATCTGGCTTGAGATGAGGAGGAGGCGGGTTGAGCAGTGACTGGCTGGCCGTGTCCCGAGGCTGTGCTCAGCTACCGGCTGGGGCTTGGATGAGGCTCGTGATGTGGATGGAGCAGAGCCGAGCGAGGGACATAGACAGAGAGAGCCACTTTTGCTACTTGGAAGCTTAGTGCTGCGAGGCTGGACGCGACTCTATGTAGCCTTGAGAAGGGGATGGGGTTTGACTGGCAGGGAAGAGCAGGGTAAGCTTGTGGTGAGAAGAGAGATGTTATGGGGCGGGTTCGGGTTGTTGGGTGTGTGGAGGACGTGAACGGTAGTCTCGGGGTCTATCTTATACATGGGAGGGATGCAGATATGGGTCGATGGTGCTGGGAACACAAGAATACAGGAAGGAAACAGGACGACGAGAGAGAGAAGGTCGGGTAGTGAGTGTATGTAGGTACGGAGTAAGAGTGAGGAAGGGCAGAGGGAGGAAAAAGCAATAAAGGGAAAATCGGAAAAAGCAACGTCAAACCCGAAGCAGACCTTGGGGCTAAATTGGGGTGGGAATTAAACTAGGTAGGTATGGTATGGTACGGATACGTAGGTAGGGCCGGGAAGTTAAGGTGAGGCGGAGAGAAAGACGTTGTATGAGGACAAGAGAGTCAGAAAGAGACGACGGGAAGCAAGCAAGCAGGCAAGCTCCTGCCTTTCACTTTCCAATCCGAGGGGGGGAACAGACCAACAATGGAAGGCCAGGAACAAGACTAGGAGGTCCAAGGTCAAGGCCGGTCAGCCAGTGCCGGGACGGACCAGACTATGCCAGATCAGACCAGGCCGATGCTAGACGGTGGAGGAGGAGTAGCAAAGGTACTGCACGTTTGGAGAAAGTTCTTGGTACTCTCTCTATGGTCGTCGTGTCTGCAGAGAGAGCACTGACGGACGGGCAACCAGCGTGATGGATGACGGACGAGGAAAGAAGTATCCGTTTCGTGGAGTAAGGTAGGGCAGACTCCAAGCCGAGTGCGGCTAGAAGGCCCCAAAAGGAAAGCAAGCTGGACCTCGTAACGCGCCGGAGAGACCCAGATGTAATCTAAAGCGGCTGTACCGCGAAAAAGCCAAAACGGCCCAGTGCTTGCCCACGAGTTCGTCTTTGCGCGAAGGGATTGCCCTTAGAGGGAAGCGCGTGGCAGCACGAGCGGTTACAATTGAGAAAAAGTATAAGCGGCGCCAACAACGGAGCGGCCGTAGCGGCTGCGGCGGCGGCGGACGGGAGAGGATTGGAACTGTGGGATGGAGCTGCGAACTGGAGCTGGAAACCAGGACCGGACCTGGAGAGATGTAGACGGAGTTGGAGTTGGTTTGGAGATGCTGGATGGAGCTGGGCTTTGGAGCTAGATTTGGAGCTGGACCTGGCACCCGGCCGAACGAGGGACGACTGGGACGTTATGCAGCGATCTGCAAGGCAATGTTTGAAGTTGGGGGTTCCCTGGCTGGCTTCCGAGTCTCTGGGAAAAGAGGCGTAGACAGTCTGGATGAGATGCAGGCGACAGATGATGGGTGTGGACGTCGAACCTCGACGTGGGTATGGCCACAGAGAGAGAGACTGTGTGAGTGGGCGATGGAATGTCTCTCACAGTGGAGGGTGGGCTTGTCCTTGTGTGTGTGTGTGTGTGTGTGTGTGTGGGAGTGGGAGCTGGTTGGTGATGGATGGGAGGACGACCACGGCTGACAAGGGGGTGTGAATGAGAGGGATACTTTGGGGAGGGGGGAGGTAGTCGTATCTGAGGTACCTCAGCTGCTGTTTCTAGCTGGCAAGGTACCTCTGCTACTGAACGATGTATGTAGAAGATGAAGAGCAGCAGGATGAGCAGGTACGACTCGAGCTGAACAGCAAGTCAGTCAGTCAATTGCACCGCACCAGTAGCACGGAACGAATGATGAACTGTGTGAGGAAAAAGAGGGAAAGATGTTTGGGGTCAGGGTGCGTGTGTGTGGAAGGAGAGAGAGAGATACCTCAGGAGTGAGGGTGGGAGGAAGGGAAAAAAAATTAGGCAAAAAATTAGAGAGGCTTATGCAGCAGAGTAAAAGCCGAGTGGCACACACCCCATAACCGGGACTAGTTTGCGAGCACAGGAGTCAGGCCTGATCAGGTGCGCTGCGCTGGGTTCGCCTTGGGGAGTCAGGAATGTAGAAGCGCAGAAAGCTTGAGAAGCAATGGTGTGTGTGGTGCAGTGCGGTGCGGTTTGGTTTGGTTTGGTAAGCTGCGTGAAGTTGGTACCAAGATGTGATTAGATGGATGGAGAGGGTGTGAAGACTGGGAAGAGGAGGTGGTGTCTCCAGACAGAACCTGGCACGGATGGGACTGAGAAAAGGCGCGCCGCCTTATTGCTACTGTAGATGGGATACGGGACGAGAACTAGAACTAGAACCGGCCCAGCGAGCGTGGCATGGTAAAGGTAAGGTAGGCCATAAGGGATGGACGAGATGGAGATGAGATGGGATGGATGAGACGGAGCTTGAGATTCTGAACGCAAAGCAGCACCCGGCCAAGCCAGAGAAAGATTGCAATGGGGGTGTGAAGTGTTATCTTGTTGGTCCCCTTTCTGCTTTTCCGACCCCTTCGTTTTCTCTCGACTGTTTCGCGGCAATGAGTGAGGTGCGTGCTTGTGCGGTGGAAAGGTAACATGTGTAGTAGGTAGGTAGGCAGGTAAGGAAAGGAAGGTACTTACTAGCAATGCAGGCACTAGACTGGTAGGTTGGCAGGCAGTTCGGAGCTCGTCCGTCATGTACGTACATACCCTTCACTGACGTGTTATGCGTCTCCAAACAGTTGGTTTTGATGGACGACCGACTGGTTTGTATTTCGCAGCCGCCTCAGCTTTCCTCCCGACCCTAATTATCTGTCCGTGTATCTGTACTTACTTTGGTCCCCTCTATCTGTACTGCGTACACTAATTAGTCTTGATCGGGCTTTGAAGTCTTGCTCTCTGCTTCGATATCCGCCCGTCCTCATTCCTGCCATTCGGCTATCCAGCTGCTTTCGCTCTTCTTCGGCCCCTCCCCTGGGAACTGGAAAGTCCAACTGCCGCCCACACTGTTACCCGTTTCGTTTCGATTTCCTGCGCAAAGTTGAGCCCGCTCTGGTGCTGCGAAGATGTACTGGGGGTCTCAGTCTGTCTTTTTCCGCTTTTCTGCACACTGCAGCCCCTCCCATCCGAGGTTTGAGTTTCTCCGATCGGAGCCACAGATAGCATTCACTGGAACAGCACTGGAAGCCTGCCGGAATACCTAACACGCAGCTTTGGGGTGCTGGTGAGTGGATGAAGGAGCGGAGGGAATGGCACAGGGTCCCTGTCCTGCCCTGCCTCTTTCTCCTCGGTGCGATGCCAATGACGAGCCCCCCGGACGATGAGCTGGAGGGATCGTAAAAGTTAAAAAAAGTCTGTGAGCACCCAGATGGCTGGATTTGGGGGCGTTGTTTATTACCGTGCTGAGACAAGCCCAGCGACCCTTGTCTGCGCCCTCCACCTCCCCTGGCGTTCCGGCCGGGGGGAGCACACGCACTAGTAAATTAATTGATATTATCGCTTGCATTTCTTTTGTGAATTGCCTACTCCCGGCTCCGTACCTGTCTCTCATGCCCTCGTTTTCCGACACGGTGACTCGCACCGAGAATCCCCGGCAAACGCTGCTGAGGTACCGTGGCTCGGCCTCAATATCGTCGTAGTCGCACTGTCGGTGGTCTAGAGCTTCAGAGCTCCATGGCGAGGCGAGACGCGACACATTGCCGATGCCGAATGACGTACATGGATGATTGTCGACACCCACTCTTTGTACATGGCGGAGCAACCGATTGATCGTCAGCTTTGGAGCGGAGGAAAAAGAGGAGAGGAATATGGGGAGCCCA